TTTCTTTTTTAAGCCTCAGATTTTCAAATTTTTGAATTTAAAATTTCAAAAATAATAAAAATTAAAATGAGCAGTACTTACCCTTATATTCTTAATAACATCATAATCTACTTTTAATCTTTCCCCTATCCTCTGCTTTTTTTGTTGTTGTTGGTTTTGGTTTTTTTTTTTTTTTTTTTTTTGGTCTGTGGCTCTTTTTGCCTCTTCTCTTGCATTCATCTGCCCCTCTTCCATCTCTTTTCCACTTTCTCTCCAGCCTCTGTCCATCAGAAACCTGTCCATCTACTTGGTGTCTTACTCTTTCTCTCTTTGACCGATTCTATATTAATTGTTCCTCTCCTGTTCTCCCCTCCTCTCTTTTTCCAACATTCACTACTTTGTTTTCTTTCTCTTTCCCTCCTTCTCCTTTTCTTCTAGTCTCTGGTCTGCCTGTCTCTTGACCTCTGTCTGTGACTGTATGCTTCTTCCTCTCTCCCTGTACCCTCATCCTCTTTTTTCCCACCCTCAGTCCTCTGTTTCTCTCATTGTCAGGCCCATATCTCTTGGCTTTGGCGATTGGTCTTCTGTTTTTTTTTGGTTTCAATTCCTACCCCTCATGGTTCTCTTCTCCCATTGCTTTATATATAAGCTTTCAATTTTCATTGAATGTAGAAGTGCAGTTGATTTTAAATCTGATTTTTGTTGTTGCTGCTGTTTCGTCAACAGCAGTTACTGGTTGCATTTTAATTTATGTTAAATTCTGTTGTCTTTCAAATTAGTAGGTTAAAAGTTATGATATTAAGGTTATAAATTTTAAATAAACAGATTTTTTTTAGCCTTTGTTCATTTTCTATGCTTGAGGCATTGTAATCAGATTGAAGTTATTACATATTAAAAATAGTTTTAAATGCTTTGTCTTCCCAAGCTGTACATGGGCAGGTCATTAAGAGTCTGGTTTTTTTCTTAATTTTTTTCTATGACGTTTTTAGGTTTATAAAAAGCAATTAAAAATCAAGACACTATAATTCCCTCTTCATAATCATGCTGTAGGTTATGAATGAATTTGTATTTTTAATGTCGTTATTTTTCAAATGTGTCACAGTGGATATATGCTGAAATTTTTTAATTTTCTTACTAATTTGTGACTTTTCATTTTGAAGTAACTATAGATTCAAAGGACATTGTGAAAATGAATAGTACAGAGAAGTTTCATGGTAGAAGTTTGTTTCATAAGTTTTTTTAAATTTTTTAATTTTTATTAATTACACTTAAGTTTTTTTTTTTTTTAATGCTATGTTTAAAGTTATTAAGGATTGAATCCTGATGCATGCTAGGCAAAGTACTCCGCTGTTGACCTTCATCTTCAGCCAGTTTTAAAGTTTATTTTCAGTGAGAGTCTTGGTATGTTGCACAGATTAGCTTCATATTTACTGCATAGTCATTACCCAGTAAGTGTAAGATCCTTCCTGAATCTCCGGAGTAGCTGTATCACATGAGTACACTATGACAGCAAAGTGCAGGATGCTTTAAAATCGTGACACTTTAAAAGTGGTAGTTTCAAAATTCTCTAACAAGTTTTTAAAATACCCCAAACACAAAAGTCCAGTTAGCATTTACCTGTATACAAAAATGCTAAATCATTTAAATCTTGAAATAGTCATAATATTTTCATTCTGTTTCATAAAGAAAATTAAGATAATTTGTTGAACGTGTACTATGTATTAATAGTGCCATGTGATGGCCTTGTGATCACTCATGTAGTCTTACCACAGAAGAAAATAATAAAAAGTTTATGCACATCTATTGGTATGTGTGTCAGAGTTGAATTAAATGTTGTTTTCACCTCCTTCCCTGCCCCATAAAATATAGCATTTATTACTTCTACATTCTTTTGATGACTCTATTGCTTTATTACTCTCTCTGCTATATGATTAGCTCTTTGATGTGGAGAGTATAAGAGGAGGGTGAAATTAGACACCCCCCCCACCAAAAAAAATTGTCTCTGTATGTCTTATACCTCTGTCGCTAATCAAAACTCATTTCAATTGGTGTGTTAATTTTGGTACAAAGTCAAAATGAAGACACACTAAAAATATAAATAAAACTACCTCCAGGGCAGACAGACAATCCTAGTGTGTGTGTGTGTGTGTGTGTGTGTGTGTGTGTGTGTGTGTGTTTGCGCGCGCGCGTTGGAATTACAAGTAGTCATGTGTCAGTTGGTACGAATGCTGGGCACTGAACTTGAGGTCCTCTGCAAGAGGAGCAACTGTTCTCCAAGCCATCTCTGCAGCTCCAAAATATGATAAATATTTTTTTAAATACAAAACACTCCTGACCTCTAGTATTTTTGCACAAAAGCTATTCAGTCTATGTACTTACTTTTATTTATCCCTTAAATTCCCCTCAGTCAATATTCTGCAAAAGTAAATCTCAGTAAATTTAATGGAATGTCAAAGAAGCTCTGTTAATATCTCAGTACTCAGCTCTACCTTCTCACTTGAGTAGAACAAGTGTATATGAATATAAATATATGTTTCTTGGTTCTTAGTTCTCTAGATGCTTACATATAAATAGCATATAAATGTATATGTATATTGTGTGCAAGATAGGGTTTCCCTGTACATTTCAAGATGGCTTCCAAATTGCTCTCCACCTGTCATAACCTTCTTAGTGCTAGGATTGCAGTTAGGCACCACTAGCTCTTATTTTATACATGAACGTTCTAAAATGGTGTGCGCTATATAGTGTGTAAATATGTCACATGTTTGTAAACCTGATACTTTAAGATATGTGTCATTTTATTATATGGTGTACATGTTTTCTAATGTATTTATAAGTCTATACGACTGTTATAAACCTATTAATATACATTTATATAAATACACGCAGGAAATAAAAACCAGAGTTTAAGATTTATGTAGCGTTTGTGAAGAACCGTTAGCCCCTAAAATCACATGTGATCTGTGAATCTGCCTGTGGGAGAAAGCTCCTGTACAAGTACTGTATCTGACTAGGAAGCACTTGGTTTGATTAAGATTTTCAAGAATTTGTTGTGGTCTAAGAATTGCCACTTTATCTGATTTATAAATCGATTCTAAGTCCGTTATTTTTAACTTGTATCATTTTCTTATTTTCAAATGCTCCAAGGAGTGCATTGCCTACAATAGCAGATACTCCTACAGGTTCTACAAGTGTTTCTCAAGCAGATTTTGTTGTTGTTCGCCTAAGTAGGATCTCATGTAGTCCAAGTGGGTTGAGCTCTATGTGTAGTTGAAGCTGACTTTGAACTTTTTTCCTTCCTCCCCTTGCCACACAGCCAGTTTATTTGGTGCCATAGAAAACAGTCTACCAACTAAGCTACATCCTCAGCCCAGACATGTCTTTAAAGTAGTCAGAGGCCTATGAGAACTGAGCCTGTGAGATTTTAGAATCCCCACAGGGTCCCCACGGGAAAGCAGCAGATCATTTTGTTGTCCTAGTGCTTTTACAGTGCTGGTTAAACCACAGCTCTCCTTTACCAGTGGTCAGTGAGCAACGGCAGACTTGGACAGTGCAGGAAACAGTTGTAAAGTAACACAAAAGAGACTTACTAAGTACTGACAACAAAATAAGACCTGGCTGGGAAATAGTGAAGGGAAGTCATTAAAAAATGTGAAACATTCCACCCTTTCAGCCATAGGAAGCTGAGCCAATTAAGATAACAATATCAGTACTTTAGAGCTCCTTTTGCTCAGTGTGTCTTGTGAGGGATCTCTGGATACAGTGAGTAGCCGAGCACTGTTTGCCCTCACATGGTAAAGTTGTACTTCAAAGTACTCGTAACTTCCTAGCGTATGAGGCTGAGTGATGACAACAGAAGGAGAACTCCTGGTTTACCAAAGTCTGTTTTTAAGCTCTTTGTTACTGGAAGAAGAAACAAAACTTTTGAAACCCAAACCCCACACCCCACACCCCATATAATTCCTTAGAGATGCTGCCTTGAACAAGGGCTGTGGTCTTTTGTTAGAAAGAATACAGTTGGGCATGAACTTGGTTGCCTGCTCTTTGATCAACTCCCCATGGTGGGGTGGCCTTACTGGTCCACAGAGAAAAAGGATCCAGACAGCCCTGATGAGACTTGGTAGGCGAGGGTCAGATAGTAGGGGAGGAGGAAGTCACCTATCAGTGGACTAGGGGAGGGACATGGGGAGAAGGGTAGGGAGGGTAGAACTGGAAGGAGATGAGGGAGGGGGCTACAGCCAGGATACACAGTGAATAAATTGTAATAACTAATAATAATAATAATAAAGAAAAAAGAAAGAATACATTTGGCAATTTAAGTAAAGGTAGCACATTAAAAGTTATAAAACAGGTGTCTGCCAGTTGTATCTTTAATTAAAATTCTGTGAAAGAAATACCTGCATCAGAAAGGGTCATATTAGATAAACGAATTACCACATGTTGGTAAAATATATTAAGCTACCCAAAGGACAATTGGATGGATTAGATAATTTGCCAGAAGCCCAGTATGAACTTTGTAAAACTGATAGCAAACCTTTGTATCTTTGAAACCCTCAAAGAGTTTTTCATTATTGTGATCTTGAAATAGCAGTTATGGGTAAAGGCTATAAAAAAGATAACTTCATTTTGTTTTAATCAACATATAGTCAGTATAGAAAGAACTGTTAAGGGAAAGAGAATTTTTAAATTGTGAAATACCACATCAGAGTCTAGCTAAATTATACAAATGAGTGTTTACAGTTGCAGATTAGTATAAAACAGATGTATACACATTGATAGCATGAGGGATGGTTGAATTAAAAAGCAGATTAGTCCAGACATGATGTCTCATGCCTTTAATCCCAGCACTGGGAAGGTGGAGGCCAGCCTAGTCTTAATTGGGAGTTCCAGACTAACCAAAGATACGTAATGAGTAATGAGACCCTGCTTAAGAAAGACAGACAGGCAGGTAGGGCTTGAGGTGGGAGGTAGTTTTGATTATACTGAGAATAGTTCTAACCTTTTATATGTAATGCTGTCAGCCTTGCAGAGACCACGTCAGTCAAGAACATAAGGAGAACTCACAGTGATGGACCTTTAGGAGGCTACCTCTATACCAACAGTACATTCTCATCCACAGGTTCTAGTGTTTATTTTCCTATACTGGAACTCAAGGTTTGTCTTTAAAATTTTTTTTCATAGCCTATATGTAATCTTAGTTCTTGGCCATCTGAGCAGGTTCAGCATGGGTTCTATCTTGTGGAGTGGACTTTAAGTCCAGTTAGAGAGTTGTCAGTTCCTCCCACGTTTCTACCACTGTTAGACCACCGTATTGTGCAAATTTGTCACCGCTGTAGATTGTGGGGTTTATAGCTGGGTTGGTCCTTTGTCCTTAGAGTAACTTCTAATACCATGAATTCTAGTCAGTAGGGGTGAAGGCTCTAGTTAGGCACCAATTCAAAATCTCCATGTTCAATGATATATTAAGTATTATCTTCAGAGCCAGGCATGGTGATACAGGCTTTAATCCCAGCACTGTGGGAGGCAGAAGCAAGTGGATCACTGTGGATTTGAGGCCAGCCTGGTCTACAAAGTGAGTTCAGAACAGGCAAGGCTACACAGAGAAACCATGTCTCAAAAACAAACAAACCAAAAGTATTATCTTCAGCAGTAGGACCTTGCCATCAATTTGTGGAGTGCAACCAATAGCACTGGCAAATAGCCTGAATTGTTGAGGAATTTTTATAGGCTTCTTTGGCCAATTACTCAATTAGCTATAACCTGTTTGTAGCAGATCGAGTTGAGCCATTGTCTCACTTGTTATGTTGGTCACTCCATGAGATTGTCTCATATCTGTATATATTTCAAGAAGCTTCTACAATAGTAGGTTTCCATACCGCCCCTCAAATGGCTAATACTGTCAGTTGGTTCTCCTCAAATTCCCTTCCTTACCCCCTCTTTCCTTTGTTATACCTTTTAATCTTCTTGTTCTAGTCTTCCCCGGCTCTCTATAACTACATTTTCTATTTCCCCTTCCTGGGAGAACCTCCACTACCTCCTAGACCTTTACTTTACCTAACCTCTGGTTCTGTGAATTGTAGCCTGCTTATCAAAGACTTAAGAGCGAACATCCACACATAAAGAATATACATCATATTTCTTCTGGGTCTGGGTTATTTTACTCAGGGGTTATTTTTTTCCTAACTCCATCCATTTACATGCAAATTTCATGATTTTTTTGTTTTCAACAGCTAATTATATTTCGTTGTGTAAATGTACCACATTTTCTTTATCCATTTATTTGCTGATGGGTGTCTAGGCTGTTCCCAGTTTTTGGCTATTATGAATGAGTAGAGCACCAGTGAACATGGATGAGCAAGTATGTCTGTAGTAGGATGTAGAGGTCTTTGGGTCTTTGCCAGAGGTTGACATAACTGGATCTTGCGGGAGCCCTGTTCTCAGCTCCTAAGTAACTGCTGCCTGACTCCATAGTGACTGTACAAGTTGGCACGCTGAGTGTCCACTTACCCGAATTCTTCCAGCAGGAGCTGTCGTTTGTTTTGTTGATCTTGGCCACTCTAGCTGATGTCAGATGAAATTTTAGGGTAATTTGGATTGCATGAGTGCTTCTATTTGAAAGCAGTAGGTCTGTCTTGCATACACAGCTTTGTTACCAGTAGTACTTTTAGTATTAGATCTCATTGTACTCAGTTGTTTTATATTATTCTGCTTATTGACAGTACAACTGTCAAAAGGAAATTGGAAGTGTCATGTGATCTGTTCAGTGTTCTCTACTTGCCTTATAACTTTTACTTGCCTCAAACGAAATACAACTGACTTTTAAAATAGACCATGGGTGGGCTGGTGAGATGTCCGTGTGAATAAAGGCACCAAGCCTGACAGCCTGAGTTCAAACTCAGGAAGCCCACATGGAGGAAAGAGAGAACCTACTTCTGCAAGTTATCCTCTGGTCTCCACATGTGTGTGCTGTGGTACACATTATCACCAGTACCCTAAATAATTTTTTAAAAAATTAGTACAATACGGTGAGATTTTGGTATTAATGCCTGTAGGTGTCACCAAAAATTATTATACCCTTTATATACATTTTCTTTTAGTAGACACAGTGGATTTCTCTGGAAATGTTATGTGGGTTATTACAGCCTTCATTCTTTTAAAACTCTAGGATATATAATTTTTATTTAGAACGACAGTCTTAAGTCCATAGTTATAGCTCCAGGTGAAACCATAGTTCTTGGAGTTCGAGTGATTCATGAGTTGACCTGCCATGTTCCCTGCTGCTCTGACCATATTGCATAACTGTTCCTTCCTCTTCTCTCTCCTCTCTTTGCCTTTTAAATTAGTTCTGTAAGCTCTGGTGACTCCTTTTGTTTTATATAATTAATATAGCTCAGAACTAGTTAGGCATATTCTGACCCTTGTTTAGGACAAGAAAGTAATAAAACCATCAATAATAGATTTTAAATAGTTTTTAAATAGTTGTAGAGTAGTTTTTCTTTCTTTCTTTCTTTCTTTCTTTCTTTCTTTCTTTTTTTTTTTTTTTTTAATGTCTTTTGTTTGTTTCCATTTTAGGCCACTGAAAGGTATGATATATTTGATCCAAGACAGTCCATTTCAGCCCAGGAATCTACAGTGGTGACAAGGACATGGGACTCCTCCCGACAGATTACTGTTGGTTCAATACAATTGACATCCTGGCTGACAACTGTGAAAAGGAACCTTGGGTTATTTTATTTTGTTTTTGTGGAACACCACAATCCCAGATCCATAAGACACATCAGGTAATGTTCTTCTATTTCTTTGGGTAAAAATAAAGCTTTTAATTTTCAAGCTTGTTAAAAAGAAGACAAGTTTACTGGTAGTTTTTTTGTCATTTATTATGAAAAGTATCAAAAATACAGAAAAATTGAAAGAATTTTACTCCTATACCAACCATTCTTTGATTTCTGTGGGTAACAGTTTTCATACCTGCTTAGTTTAGCCTCCTACTTTCCATGCATGTGTCCCTCTACCTTTTGCTTACTCTCTGATACATTACTTTTCCTGATATCTGGGTTGAAATTCCAATTGTTTCTCTTCATTCAAGTTCGCTAGTTATGTGAAATATACTAGTGTCTGTGTTTGGTCTCTCAGGGAGTTCATTTTCTGTAGTGTGTGATTGTACATGTTTGTAATTGGATCACAAGAGTCAGGAGCCTTTAGTGCTTTATTTACATCATAAAGCAGAACTGTTAACCCAGACTCACAGGTATGTTTTGTATACAATGTTGCTTGTTTATTTTTCTAATTAAGGGAAATGTTTAAAGCTTGGAGTTTGAGTGTAAACTGTGGCAGGAAAATACATTTAGTGTATGACAATAGTGACTACTCAGGGTACAGGAGAATATGGGACAATGTTCATAGTATTCCTTTAAAGAAAAATATTTAAAAATATTTAAATGTCATATACACTTATGTAATTATTTAGCCATTACTTCCCATCTTGAGCTAGCTCAGGTCTTTTCTCACTGTATTGTGATATTTTAAGAAACATTTATCACAAATATTAAAGATCTTGAAGGCAGGAATTTTGTTTTTGCTTATGTGCATTCAGCATTATTCTTAGAAGATAGAAGTCACTTAGTTAATATTATGTAGTAAGTGAATGTAAAGAATGTTTCAGACTAATTGAAGATTACTTTTCTTTTTTGTTAAGGCTTCAAGTTCCCTGTAGATTTCTAAAATAACCTTTGCTAATGAGGATGTCTGATATTGTTATTATAAAAGATGAAACTGAAACAATGAAGGATTTGGAGGCAGAAGTAAGAGATACAACAAGAGTTGAAAATCTTATCAAATCAGAAAACTGTGGGAAGATTTTGGCAGAGAAGAATGAACATTGTATTGACAACAGTATTGATTTGCAGGTAAGCAGAGTTTTTCCATGGCTCTAAATACCTGGCAGCCATGGTACAAGTGTGCTTTTCATAGGGAACTCACTTTCCACAATGCTTTTTCTGGTTGGTTGGTTGGTGTTTGTTTGTTTTTAATCAAGACAGGGTTTCTCAGTGTAGCCCTGGCTGTTGTGGAACTCTCTCTGTAAACCAGGCTGACCTCCAATTCATAGACCTACTTGCCTCTGCCTCCGGATCAAAGTGTGCGTGCCACCACCGCCCCACCACTTTTCACAGTCCTGAAAGGGCGAGCTGACCCTTTGGTACATAGGTACTGGTTTGTTTGTTTGTTTGTTTTTTTAATTTATCTGGACAGCTTGCTGAGTCTTAGGTCTTGATTACCTCTTTGTGTCACATTATATGATTCTTTATATTTTCCTGTAGCTGTGTGTGTTACTGGCTTTTTAGCTTTTCATTTTACCTTCCTCCTTAACTATTAGTGCTCTGATGGTTCAGAATAAACCTAAGAGCTCTTAGAGGAGAGAGAATTGGAATGGTCAAAGCTGCAGGAGATCTGCTCACAGAAACAGCCCTGTTTCTCAATGCGTCAGCCATGTCTGAGTGAAGAGGCTTGTGGGGAAGGGGCATCTGACCTAATGCCTTTGTTGCTGTGCGTGCATGATCGTTTAGAACCAACCATTGGGAAGGCTTTTAATTCTAGTCAGAGATACTTAAGTTTGAGGAAGAAGTTGGACCCCTGGCTTAGCCAGACCTAAGGTGTACTTTTCTATGATTTGTCTAGTATGGCAGTTCCAAGGTAGCTAGATGAATTAAGTGGCAGCTTAGGTACCCCAAGGAGAATGTTCCAGAGATAAAAGTACCAAGAAAAGCTTGGATCCAGGCTGATATCTGAGAACCTCCTTTATACTATCTTCTGATGGTGCGTACAGATAATACCTGCCTAGAGAAAGGACACTCGGGTCCTATATGTCAAATAGGGAACCGTTTGTGTTAATCTGAAATCTGCTACTGAAACTTATCCTTATGTTGTTTTTAACATTAATCCTTACTGGGTTAGTGTTTCCTGGTAAAGACAGATACCTGAAAACAACAACGGTTGTTTTGGCTCATTTTCAGCAGTTTTAGTCTATGTTTGAGGCCTGTCGTAGAGCAGAACTACAGAGATAAAAGCATGGCCTAGGCAAGCTCTTCACCTCCTATCAGCCTTAAGCAGAGAGGAGTTAATGTAGAGCGGCCTTAGCCAAGATGTGCCCTTCAGACGCACACCCCACCACAGCCTCCCTCCTCCAGCTAGACTCGAGCCTCCACAGCTCATTGCCTCCTGATTACTTGAGTTGGTTGGGGCAGAGCCCTTATAATCTAATTCACAGACACTCCTCCAGGTGTACCTTACGAATATTCTGGGGATCTCAAGTCATTAAAGTTGAAAATTAAGTTTAACCATCAGGAACTAGGAAGATATCTCAGTTGCCTAAGTGTCTCTTAGGTTCATATTTCCAGCACCATGGTAAAAGCCAAGTGTGGAGGCATGTGTCTGTGTTCTGGGTGCTTAGGCAGTGTGGAAGTAGAGAAGAAAACCCATAGAGTTTGCTGGCCCGCCAGGTTAGTCAGTTCAGTGGGAGACCCTGACTCAAAAAGTAGAAAGCATAGATCAAGATACCTGACATTCCCTGTTGATTTTCACATGTGTGTGCACATGCATTACACGTACACTCACAGGCACTTACCGTACTTATGGAGAAGAAATCCTTTTTGAGAAAATGCTGTCATTTTTTAAAAAATGGTTTTAATTTTATTCATGTGTCCATGATGCATGTGAGCACATGTGCACTTGTGTAGTTCATAGACAATGTTTTTAGTCTTTGTTCTCTCCTTCCTCCTTTATGTGGTTCAGGGTATCAAACTCAGGTGGCCATATTTTGAAAACAAAAGTCTTTACCCGCCAAGGAATCTTGCCAGCTCTATTCTGTCATTCTTAAGATATCAAGAAGACTTCAGCCAAATGCGGTTGCATGTGCCTGTCATGCCAGCCTTTTTGAGGCTGAAGTAGGAAGATAGTAATTCTTGGTCAGCCTGGACCACGTTCTGATATCCTGTCTCAATCAAAATGAAAAAACAGGAACAAAGCAAAGAATAAAGACCATGAAGGCTATCAGCCAAATGTTACTCTTTCACTTTTTCTTTAATTGATAAGTAAAGTTTTTTTTTTTTTTTTTAAGGCATTAAAGTCTCTTTAAAGGGCATTTCATTTTTGTTTCTTTTTTCACGAATAAGTTTTGTATTTTCCTATAAACTTGTCTGACACCAGGTTAGACAATGATGTTAATTCCTAGAGCTTTATTTAAACTATTTTCCAATGATAAGTGTAATCTTAAACTATTTTACAATGATAAGTATAATCAGAGGATAATCTTTTTTTTTTCTTTCTCCCTCCCTCCCTTTCTTTCTCTCTTTTCTTTCCTGCCACCACAGCTGGCAGCGCCCCCCCCACCCCTTGGTTGTTTTAAGCTAGAATCTCATGTAGCCTAAGAATTTGCTGTGGCCCAGGCTACCCTTCTATTCCTGACCTTTTTTCCTCTAACTCCAAGTGCTGGGATCACAGATCTATTCCACCATGCCTTCCTTCCTTCCTTTTTTTCTTCCTTCCTCTCTCTTTCCTTTCTTTCTTTCTTTTCTTTTTTTCTTTCCTTTTCTTTCAGATTTATTTATTATAAATACAGTGTTCTGCCTGCATGTATCCCTGCAGGCCAGAAGAGGGCACCGGATCTCATTTTAGATGGTTGTGAGCCACCATGTGGTTGCTGGGAATTGAACTCAGGACTTTTGGAAGAACAGACAGAGGTCTTAATCTCTGAGCCATCTCGCCATCCCCTTAAATAGTAAATTTCTAAGAATTTGGATATACTACATTTTTCCCAGTCATTTTTAGTTAAATTCTTTTTAAAACAAGAAAATTGCCTTTTCTAATGAGTATGCTCTTTAACAGTGATTATATTAGTGAAAGTTTGCAGAGAGCCTTCTGTATTTCTGATTAAAACAATAAGGGTTCAGGCTGGAAAGATAGCACTTGCTGCTTTTCTAGAGAACTGAGATTCCCTTCCTAGTAGCTACATGGTGGCTCATAACCTTCTATAACTCCAGTTCTAGGACGTTTGACACCCTTTTCTAGCCCCTGGTGTCAAGAGCAACTCAGGAAGTCAGTCATGGTCAGAAGTCTGAAGCACGAGGATGAGTAGTTTCAGGTGCCAGGTATTCACGCAGTACGCAGACATACACAAAGAGAAAACATATACACACATAACTTTTTAATTAAAAACTTCAGTGCAGTTATTAGATCAGTTCTGCATCTCATGTACATTCTTATAGTCATGCTTGCCAACAAATTATTAACTCCAATTGCTATGTTTCTGCATTTCAGATTGTTATATGTCTGTTATATGTCTCAGAAATAATCTCAGGAGCATTCCTCTATCATATCCAGTCTCAGTTAGACTGCAGGAAACTTCAAACCTAGGGTTTTGCATGTGCTAGGGGAGGCACTGTACCGCCTCCAAGCCCACACAAACCTTTGTTAAAAGACTACTCTTTGCACTGAAAGAGCCTGTTATTTGCCATATGTACTGTCTAGTACATATGTGTATAGATGTGTATGGGCTGTAAAGAGGGAAATATATGTAACCCACCAAAGTCTCTATTCACCATGTCCTCACATTTTTTTCCTTAGAGGTTTTTCTCTATAAGAATTCTGACCTGGGGGAGGGAGGGTGGGGCTGGGCGGGGAGAAGGGAGGGGCTTATGGGGGCATACAAAGTGAATAAAGTGTAATTAATTTAATTTAATTAAATTAAATTAAAAAAATAATTCTGACTTTTTTTTTTTTTTTTTTTTTTTTTTTTTGCTTTTAAGACTAGGATAATGTCAGTAGAGGTACCTGGCAAAAGATTTATTGCAATTGAAATAACTTGTATGCAAGTAATTTAACTAATAGAAAACTAGAAAAAATAGAAAGTAATTTATTCTGTTTATACTAAGCATTGGTAGGAAATAATGGCTCTAAGTGGTTAATTGTCTACCTTAAGATGATAAAGCCAGCCTAAGCTCTGTAGTGAGACCGAGCTGTCATCTTAATCTAATTCTAATACTAGTTAATTAGTTATACTAGTTATAACCTACTACTACTAAACATGCATTTTCCCTTTTGTACCTTTAAGATATACCCTGAAAATTTTATGAGTATACAATTGACACTATCTGGAAAGAACAAGCACTGTCTATTCCCCAAGTACTATTTATTAACAGTAGGTGGCTATATCCACATCTTGTTAGTAATTGTTAGGGGTAAAGAGAGCTGGTTTTTGCTAACACATAGTGTTGTGGAGTATTTACTGAGTAAGTCAGCCACCCGTGGGGACCATCTTAAGCAGGTTAGTGGGAAGTAGCCACTAACTAATTGTGAAGGGCAGTTATGTCACATACAGACAAGCAGCTCTGGACATTTGCAGCAAACAAGCATTGTTACAGAAGCAGAGAGATAACAGTTAAATGGTCTAGCAGTTAACCCTTAGCTCAGGGACACATTATATAGGAGTTTAGGGGTTGGTCTAGAGACTAGTTTACCTTAGGAATTTAGGGCTGGTTCAGAGCACTTAAAGTATCCTTAGGAATACTTTCATGAGATGGTAGAACTACAGTTCAGAATCCTTCTACAGTAGGCCTTTGATTTCAAGATGTATAAATTTTGTCTGATACGTATACATGCATCAATTAAACTAGGTAGGTAGTATGACATCTTACTCCTGAATTGCTTCAAAGGGGATTGAGAAAACAGGTAGGAGACAACAAAGTAATGGCAATCCCACAAGGCTGTCAAGAGGAACTAAGGAAGCCAGTCATCATCAGAAGTCTGAAGCAGGGGGATGTGGAGTTTCAGGTCAGCATGTGCTACATTTGAAGTTCAAGACTAACATAGGCTACATAGTATGATCCTTTATTAGTGGAAGAAAAAAAAAACCCAAGACACCTGTAAACAAACCTGTATCAACAGTATGAGTGGTAGAGTGTGAAACAAAGGCAAAGTATGGTATTTGTCAGATCCACAGGAAACTGGCTGTCTGTGGTGCCTGTCAGCATACCAAAGCACATGCTGGCCTCCAGGCTTTCTCAGTGCTAAAAGCCTTCCCTCAACCGTACCTTGTAACAGCCATGGCCTCAGTTTATGCATCATTATCTTCATAATCATTACTATATCGATGACTTATAGGCTAAAGCACAGCTATAGCTTCTAAATTTCTCACCTTGTCATGCAAGATAGTTTTTTCTTTAGTAATAAATCTTCTTTATTACCATCATCCCAAAATATCTTGTTGTTTTGCGAGACAGGGTTTCTCTGTGTAGCCTTTGCTCCAGAACTCACTTGTTCTGTAGACCCGGCTGGCCTTGAACACACAGAGGTCCACCTGCCTCTGCCTCCCGAGTGCTAGGACTAAAGTTGTGTGCCACCATCACCCTGTTCCAAATTTTCAATTTCAACAGAACTTGTCTTCATACAGTTGACTTTTTTTAAATTTTATGACATTAAACAAGTTTAACATTTTGAAACTTAGAGTTCATTTTCCAAAATACACTTCATTATTATTTCTAGAAGTTGTTTTCAGTTGACCTTGGGTCATAATAAATATGATGTTGGCATTTATAAGCATGGAGATGAAGAAATAGCTTTAATGATGATGATGAGTATAGCTTTTTCTTGTTGTTTGTTTGGTTTGTTGTTTGTTTGTTTGTTTTTTGAGACAGGATTTCTCTGTGTAGCCTTGGTTGTCCTAGACTCGCTTTGAAGACCAGGCTGGCCTCGAATTCACAGGGATCCACGTCTGCCTCTGAGCACTGGAATTACAGGAATATGCCACAGGGTCTGGCTTGAATATAGCTTTTTCAATCAGATAATTTTTACATATTAAAATGGAGAACTCCTGCTTTCTTTTAATATTTGGAATAATAAACCATGAGGTTGTGAGTTTCCCTGGGAACTTTGCTTAAGTGTCAAAGATAGACCTTTTTGGATTTTAACCTCATATTCTATGGCTGAAAGGATTAGCAGTAACATTAAGTTTGTATTTGTGCTGTCAATTTATTGACTTTAATTTTCAGCTCTTTGACTTTTTTTGATAGAAATTGGCATCCTGACATTGGTTGTTTTCACTCTCCATTTTTACCTTTAACTAAGTACTGAATTCATTCTGTTCTTCCACATAATTACTTCTTAAAGTTTACTATTATACAGAAACACAGTGCAAATTAGTAATATGCAAGTGTGGTCTTACTTAGTCAAAAAGGTTCAACTATTATAGTTTATTTGTCAATAATTAAATGGAAAGAAAAGGAAATAAAAGGCAGGTGGTGGTGGCACACACCTTTAATCCCTGCACTCAAGAGGCAGAGGCAAGCAGATCTCTGAGTTTGAGGCCAACCTGGTGAGTTCCAGGACAGCCAGGACTACACAGAGAAACCTTGTCTCTAAAAAACCAAAAGAAAAGAGAGAAAGAGAGAGAGGACGTGAGCATTCCTAAGTATGTTGGAGGAGAAATTTTATTTTAGAGATGTGGGAGAGCATCTCCAGAGGTAGGCATGTCTGGAAGAATCCTGAGTGGGCATGAGCCTGAGCCAAGAAGAGAAAGGAGCCAGTGCAGCAGCCCGGACACCCAAAGAGAGCAGGGCAACCAGATGGTTAGATTATATATATAAGGAAGGGCATCTCGGGGAAGGACACCCAACCCCTGAGCTGGAGACATTTAGGTTAAGGGGCAAGGTACGCTAGCCAGGAGGGGCCTGTTACAGATATGGACTGAGGGTTGGGAGAACTTGGCATCCAGATCTGCTTTAATGTATTAAGTCAGTACCTCAGTCCTTTGTCCCAGGTTTGAAACCTAACAATAGTAATTACTGTTTATAAATAAAAATGACTCCTTTCATGAAATAAGTTGGATTTCCTCTAAATTAAGTGATACTGGATAGGCAGTTGCTTTTACACTAACACACAATATATCCAAGAAGGTTATTCTGTTCTTCCTCAGTTTGTTTTTTTTTTCCAAACTCCCGTAACTGGTGTCTCTGCCAGTATGTTGTTATCAGTTAAAAACTGAGAGTCCGTTAAGAATGTTCTATATTTTTCACCTACTTGTTGACCTAGTTTTTGTCTGTTTTTTTGGTATAAACAGGATAAATTATATAAATTGGGGTTTGTCCTTCAGCTTTCTAAATTCAAATTTGCTTATTATTTTTCATTACTCATAAGGAAGTTAGAAGAGTTACTACTTTTTTTTTTTTTTGCTGTCAACATAAAGTTCTAATAAAGGTAGAAAGTATGCACCATATAAATAAAATTCATGTTAAGATATGATTTTAAATCAACCTAGAAAAATTCCTACTTAAAGCTTAGTCTGGATGCCAAACTGATAACAGTATGAATATATATAATATGACATCTTTGCCCTGTTCTGTGTGCAAGTGTGTATGGCAGATTTTCTTTTGTATATTCTATAGGATGTATCTGAAGTGAAAAGAAACAAGTAATTTTATGTAGTAATGGCACTCTGGCACCTATACATTGATATATTTGTTTTCCCTTGGTACATAAAGGGTCAACACAAATTTAGAGAGTTAAAATAGCTCTCCATTAGGAGCTTATAGTGGACTCATCTGGGTTTTTTGCCTAAGATTTTACAAAGCCAAAATTAGGAGTGTTAGCTATGCTGATCGTCTTCGGGAGAGCTGGGGAAGAACAGACTTCAAGGTCCATTCCTTTTTCAGTAGACCTCAGTTCCAAAGCTTTGTTTAAGGTCTGTGTTTCCTGGGTGGCCTGTCCATCTTGAAAGCAAAAGAATATGTCTGAGTCTCTGACTTGCATGTTTTATCTCAACCAAAGAAAACTCAACATTTAAATGACTCGTTTAATGAGTCAGGCTCACCTCGGTTTAAATCTGTATCTTTAGGATGCTGACTCAGAGTTTAGCTACTTCTGTAAGCTCCCTTCACAGTTGACCCCAGCTTTGTGTTTGGTTAAGTAACAAAAAAGGATGGCGAATCATTCTTGGGGACTGTCTTTGGAATTCCATCTCCCATATTTGTATGTAATCTGTCACATAAGTGTATATAAGTGGAAGATTACTGGACTAGGATTTTGAGGCTTTTAGGTTCAGTTTGGCTAATTTATAAGTGATTTTGAACTGTGAAGTCCTTAAGACCAGACAGGAACTTTGTCGTCTTTATTTCTGTTTCCTAGATGTTACTTATAGAGTAAGAAAAGCCCATTTGGCCAAGGTGAAGAGAAGAGCAAGTTAAAACTAATCCATCAATATGCAAGGCGTCTTTTTAGGCAGTAGTCTACTGTGCAAACATATTCACACCATTTTTTTTTCCCTCGATAGGCAGCCTTTTAATTGGGGGAAAGGGGAAGCCTGACTATCTCTTGGTTTTTATTGTTCTCTTGGTGATCCAGAGTCAAAGCTATAAGAATATAGCGTTTTGATCTTTGTAGGCATTAAAACCCAAAATAGAGGTTTTGCTGTTTTTGTACTCTGGCTGGTGTTTCTATTGGCCTCATACAGAGTCTTTTGGGATATTAGAATACATAATATTTTTCTCCCTTAAAAAAAAAAAATTAAGCCTTTTTGAATATGTGTTGCAGCAGTACATATTCTTAGTAGCAATTTTGAATATGTATCATGTTTGCTGAATTGAGCTAATGAGAATAGATACCCTTTGAGGAGCTGGATTTGAAATTACAGAGGAACTAAGCAGAAGGAAAAAGTTTAAAATCTGTCTGGGTCTGAGTTACGGGCGCTGTAGGCTCAAGCACAGACTGAAGCTAGTTGTTTCTGTGAGTTCTCCGATGATGTGGTTAGTGATCTGACAGCTGTGCTAAGCACCTTCACTGGTGCTGCCTTCTTTCTATCGTTTCTGCTTTATTGACTTACCCGGGACCTAGCGAGTAGCATTATTTACTAAAACTGGTGGTGTGTCCTTTACGTTTTGCTGAAAATGCTCAGCAGATGAGAGATGAAAGCAGCATAGACTCTGACTCTATGCAATTCAAATATTTTTCTTTAGAGAAGTTGAAAATCTTTCTGATTTTTAGCTAATTGAAATTGCTGAGTGGTTTTACCCCCAACATTAATAAAAATGCTGTTATAAAATATTGAAGAAATCTATTTTGCTATGAAAAAGTCACCTTTAAAGTTCCATATTGCATTCATTTAATACAGAAATTTGCTGATTTAAAGAAAAATGCCAATCCACAGATGGGCTTAGTAACTTTTCCAGCTGTGCTTCTGGAAGGAATCAGTACTCTTTCTCTGAACCGTCTTTGATTTCCTTGTTTATCAAACTCTGTGGTGTAGGTGTATAAATTAAGAAGCAAATTTTCTGTTTGAATGTAAAATTTAATAAAAATTTTTTTTATTGTATATTCAGCGGCCCCTGCAGTCATTTGGACAGACAGGAAAAAGGTCTAAGGTATTGTAACTATTTGGTGTGCTGGCATGCCAAGGCCTTCCTTCATGCTTGATGAATCCTTGTTTTCATACAGCACTACATTCAGTTTAGTTTTTTCATCTTTTGTTTTGGGCAGAAAGCTTCTTTTGTTTTATTTGGGCTTTTTTTTTTTGTCTTGCCTAGTCGCTTTTGTGCTTTGTTTTTAAGTATCCGTGGTGGGTTTGTTGTTGTTGTTGGTTTTTTTTTTTTTTTTTTTTATAACTATAGAAAAAAAAAATCGCTTTCTCACCATTTGTTGGATTTGAAATTGGAATTATTCCCATTCTTGCTATTGGTACTATAATATATCTAACTTACACATTTCATCTACTTTTTTATGCGTGGCGGAAACTAAAAAAATTTAGACACTCTTTAGGGGGCTTTTGACTATGCCCTGTTTTAAGAAATGTAGTGTTAATTTTAAATACTTCTCTTTAGTCAAGCTCAAAGTTAAAGCTAGTTCGGAGCCTTGCAGTATGTGAAGAATCTCCACCACCCCCTGCAGCAGAGATATCACAGGAAACCCAGGTAAAAAATTAAAAAAAAAGAAAGCAAAAGTTACTTGAAGACAAGGTGGAACTGGAGAAATTCTTTGATATGGTTTAATGAAAGTTGAGTATATATGTATTCTTTTATTTCTAGTAAATGAAACTATTTGATAATACTTGTTAACAGAAATCCAACTTAATTAGGGAAACTATTTCATTCTGAGGCTTACAATAGAGATTCTTCTTTTGGAAAAACTTGAAGTCATATGATTACCTATGAATGTGACTTTAAGAAAGATATAAATTATTATTTAAAAGTATTCACTATTAAGGTACTTTCAGTGATTATAATTTTGATACAATTCCCCTTTTAATTTGGGGCTTTAGAAATTTATTGTGTTCTTACTTCTTTTCTGGGAACTACTCAACTTCTGATTAGCAATTTAGTTATCCCGAATGCATAATAAAGCCAGTGTCATTTTGCATGAGGTTTTAGTAGCTATCTAATACTTCTAACTCTGTCTGTTCTTATAAAACATAACGTAGTGAGATTCAAGCAAGCCACTGAGTTTGAATACTATTCTCTTTTTAATGCTTTGATTTCACTTTCCGTTAATCTTCACTGCAGATGGTCTTTGTCTAGTGCTGTTTGAGCAGTGTTTTCAGCTCTGCTGATGATCATCAGTATGATAGCTGTTAATGAGTGGCTTCTGCTTCCTAAGAAGGGTTTAGGCAACTTAAATTTTACTTTCTAAAGAAGTGAGACAAGTAGTGCTTATTTAAGAAACCACGGCAAATAAAAAATTATGACATGTTGTATATCTATTTTGAGATTGCAAATGTCAGAGGAGTGATGGGATACACCTTTAATCCTAGCACTGTGGACGCACAGACAGAGTCAGGTGAATCTCTGAGTAGGCCATCCTGGTCTACCCAGCAAGTTTCAAGCCATCCAGAACTAAACAGTGAACCCTGTTCAAAAAAACAAACACATTTTGAAGCACATGTCAGTTGTACATTTGTTATTCAAGAACCTTTTCTCTTTTTTATGACTTCATTGATGCCTTTGAAGAGAAACTATTAGTTGTCAAGTGCTTACAATGTGTCCTACTTTTACAATCACCAAATTTTGTTTTTGAGATGCAAGAAAGGGGAGACTTTAAAACAGATGGTAGGTAATAACAAATAATCCTTAAAATCTTTTTTTGATAGTTCAAGCGTTCAAAATTTGTTTGTGATCTCCCCTCCCATTGTTTGTATTTAATTAAATGTATTTGGCAGTACTGTTTTTCTAGCAAAGTCAGAGATACTCTCAAAATGTTTAATGAATATTGTTGCCTCTAGAATACATTTTAAGCATAAACCTCTGGGTACTTTGTTTTACAGAATGTGAATGCTTTATGATTAAGGATTCCATATCTAGCTGTAGTAAGGCCAGTGAGTTATGGCAGATTCTGAAAGTGAAAAAACAATAAAATTGTTCTTTGAAATCGCAATTTTAAAAAGTTCTCTTATGGGCTTAGAACTTAAGCGCACTGGCTTATTTTCCAAGGAGGGGATCCAGATTCGATTCCCAGCACCCGCATGCTCGTAACCATCTGTCCCTCCAGTTTCAGTGGGTCCAGCATCTCTCCTGGCTCCCACTGCAGCCGGCAGCAGTGTACTGCAAGGATGCTGCACGTGCAGAGAAGGCGGTCACACACACAAAAATAAATGAAGGGAAAAATGGGGAATTTGCGTGCTTGCTTGCTTGCTTGCTTTTGTTTTTTTCAAGACAGGATTTCTCTGTATGCCGGGCCGTCTTGGAACTCCCTCCATAGACCAGGCTGGCCTCAAACTCAGAGATCCTGCTGTCTCTGCCTCCCAGTGCTGGGATTAAAGGCTTGTGCCACCACTACCCAGCCTGGAAATTTCTTTTATAAGTCAGAATCAAGAATGTGGTTGCTCATGAAGTATGTTTCGAAAGTTCATTTCTTCATTCTGCTGACAAATACTGTATTACCTTAGCCTCATGACATTTATAAGCCGTTGAGGTTGAGGAAATGGTAAAAGGTGCCTATTCAAGAATGTACTAATACAGAGAAGTATGTATCTTCTGAGAAAAGCTGATCCTTCTTTTAATTTTCAGTTTATTTTACTTTCTGTGAAAAATGTTAGCACTGGGAGATGTCCTATACTTAAAAAAGAAGCCTGTGTAAATATTTACTAGGATATGTGTCAACTGTTAACATATATATTGATCATAGATTATGTATTTATGGTTTAAAAAGAGGTATACACCTGTTTAAGATGTCATGTCAGAATCATTTATCGCATGTATTGTGTTTTCTGTTTCTCTTAAGTGGAATCATTTTTGTTTGGATAGTAGTAAACTTTCATTGCCTCTCTAAATAAAAAGTTTTGTTTGTTTGTTTGTTTGTTTGTTTTTAAAGAGGAAACCTTTTTCATGCCCTAAGTTGACTAAAATGTACCTGAAAAGGAAACTAGAAATTAATGTTTGCTGTCTGTTCTAGTCAATGTGTTAATTTTTGGTAAATTAATATGGTGTAAAACTCATTATAAAAAAGGTTGAGAGACAGTTATCAGAGAGAGGGCTTTCATGGGATGAACATTTGTCATAGGGAAATGACCTTACCTACAGATGTTATCAATGTCACACTGAAGAATAAGGGAATTGAAGCTTCCTGTGTAGATGCTCCAGTTATTTATAGGCAGAACCTTTAGCATTCGACCTAGCATTGCAGCCTTTAGCATTCCGAATGGGTTTTCTTTATTCAAGTACTAAAAACAGGGTCAGATAATGACAAGACACCAACCACCAGCTTTCTCTACTAGGGAATTTAGCAGTGAAATCTGCCAGTCATTGAAAGCACCTTTTAGTCAAGGCACATGCATTTCATTGGGCTTTCCACTTGAGTTGTAAGAAGCTGCAAAGAAGGAAAACTCCTTTTTCAAGTATCTGAAAACTGTGGGATAAAGAAGAAACAGAAAAAAGCTTAGTAAATAAATTAAAGTGATAAATGTGACATACTGGGTGGTGAGTACTGCCACTGTGTTTGCTTATCAAAACAGAAGGCAGAGAACAGGTGTCCATCATCCTAGGAGAGATAGCCAGAGGGCATTTTTGAGCATGATTCTGCTACTGAGCAATATCCCTAGCCCCTGCAGTTAAACTCAGATGGAATGGAAGAAAAAAGAAAACAGTAGCTAATTATCTTACTGTTGTATATATAACCTAAATTTTGCTAAGGGTTGTTTTGAATATAAGTTTATGTGTGGTGGAGAAAATTTAAGATAAATTCTACTGGCAATAAGTTTGAGGATGCTGACGTTTGTATCCTCTGTGTTATTGACCACTTCTGCTACTACGGTCCAGAAAAGTTAAGTAATGAACAAAAGCATAATTTAGGTATTTATACAGAAGTACAAAATAGGTCATACTTTTATCTTTTGTTGAAATGGCCTGAGGTTTATTGTGTATTTCTTGTAATTTTGCCTGAATAAACAGCTCAGTATGATCTTTGTCTTTTGGGGGATATAAGTAATTTTCTAGTAATATCTGCTGGTTCTAAAATTGCTTTAATGACATTTTCAACATAAGATTATTCTCCATTTTGGTCTTTAATAGAATGGCTACTTTATAGCTTTTATATAGCAGGAAGAAACAGTATTATTTGTTATCTTTCTAAAGCAGCCGTGTGGTAATTGAAGGATGCAGAATGATTCATAAATCTCAAGTGATGCCATGATTTTGAAAACTTTTATGCTTTTATTTTTGTATTTGCAAGAGAAAGAAGGGAGTGTGCTTACATGGGATACTCAAGAAACTAAATTGGGCAAGCGATGTAGCTCGGTTGACGAGTGTTTTAGCATGCACAAAACCCTGGGTTCCATCCATAGTACCATATGAATCAGATGCAGTATTGCACATTTGTAATCCCAGCACTTGGGGGAGGGAGGCAAGAAGATGTTGCAAGTTCAGAGCTAGCCTAAGTAGGACTCATAGACTCTTACCTCAGAAAGAAACTGAATTGTGTTGTTTTCCTGATGTTAACATATTTCTGTTGTCATGCCTGATAATTGTGGTGAGTATTTCCACCAGAACAATAGGTCAAGAAGAACTGAGTTCTGACGTCTAGAGTGTTTTGTAAATAAATGCACTATAACTATTACAGGAAACATTTATTTTCTCCAAAACCATTTTAAAGACATGCTTTAATTGATACACTCAGATGAACAGATTAGGTGAAGTTTGGTTTTGGGTCTGAGAAACCACCCCCTATGTTCCTGGCTGAATTGGAACTTACTATGTAGACCAGATGGTCTCAAATTCAGAGTTCCACTTGCCTCTGCTTCCTGAGTGCTGGGACTAAAAGCGTGTGCCACTATGCCCAGCTGACCATACTGTTTTAACCATTATTTTCAAGACATTTTAAGTTTGTTTTTTGTTTGTTTTGGGATGGGTTTTCACTGTGTGGACCAGGCTAGCCTCGAACTCACAGCACTCCTAGATTCACCTGCCTCTGCTTGTGAGTACTGGTATTAAAGGCACACCACCACACCTAGCTTAAGTTGTTTTCTTATTTAGAATGTTTAATTGGATTAAATGAAAATCTCTTCTCCTTTTGTCCTTCATACAGTTTGAGTTACTTCCTTAGGAAATGTCAGTACTTAATATTTGAATTGGTTTATATTTTCATTGAATAACTAATTTTTCCTTCCAACAGGAAAAATTTCAAATCCAGTTAACACAATCATTTGAAAAAGAGGAAAAGCTATCAAAAGATGAAACAGATAAAGAAAAAGCCAGTGATAAGTTGCCCAGAAAAATGTTATCAAGAGGTTAGTAATTTATTTTTATTTTTTAGATAAAAACTTAGTTTCATTATCAATAATTCTTTACCCCTTGAATAACATGTCACATCTATATTAAAAATGGTACAGCAAACTGGAGGGATGATGTAATATTTATTCATGTAGTATATCATGGTTATATATAACATTAAGATTCTCCAACCAAAAATTGTAACAAAATCTGAGTTACCAAGGAAGATGATCATCAGAAGCTGTTACTGATCTCGCTCATGATCAAATGTCAGAATCATAGTTTGTGTTTTATTGGTGCCACTAAATATATCACTACTCACTAATTTCTTATCAATAAGAAGAACTGGTGCCATATTAAGAATATTGCTGGAAGCCCTAGAATATTCATCTTCATTAAAAGTTTATTATTGAACATTACAGTTCAACAAAAATGCTCTGCTTATAAACTCTGTTGGGTTGATCAGTATTATAAGGATATTACATTTAATGGGAATAAATAGATGGTATTTGAGAAGTATTTTGAAAGCAAACTGTATGAATTAAGCTTTTTAAATTTGCTACAGAAATAATTATTAAAATCATTCAGTTTTTCACCAAACATGTTTGAACATGGGAATGTGATGAATACATTAGGATCATTAAATAAATCAGTGTGAATTTAGCCTGACATTAAATTTAAGAATGTGTATATACATGCAGTTATACTAGCACATGTCATGAAAAATATATACAAGTTGAAAAATTGTGGTCATCTGCCTTCATTCTAAATTTTCTTTTCCTACTTTATGATTATTTTTTTATTCATGGGGCATCTCATTTTCCTTAAGATAGACATAATGTACAAAAGGGAAAAAATTTGTGCTCAAACAACTTTATACTGGGTTTTTGTGTTGTTGTTTTTTAGATTCCAGTCAAGAATACACTGATTCAACTGGCATAGATCTACATGAATTTTTAGTAAATACATTAAAAAACAATCCCAGGTAAAAATTAAATTTATAAGGTTTACATTGTTTCTAGAGTACCATAATCTTGCTATGTATGTTTTCATTATTTAGTTCGAGTATTAGGATAAGATTGTAGCTATATGGAATATACTGGAAACATTTTAGCTTCTCAGGACTAAGATACTGGTTTACTAAATGCAGATTTATAAATATCTTTGCATTACGCATGTTAGGATGTGAAAATTATTGCTGTTTTTTTTAGGCATTTTCAGAAATAGAAAGTCACTAATATATTTATACTCTGAATTGGGATTAAGAGATAGATTTAATCATGAATATCTTTCCATTACATACTCCATCCGAGTAAACCATGTCTGTACTCAATTGTTATGAGTAAATCTTGCTCTTTCTTGTTTGTTTATTAAATTCCAACCAAAAGCGTTTTAGTGCTTATTTGATTCAATACTTGAATTGTAAAGTCCATTTTGCCCAGAACAGGGGGGGTTTAGTTGTAAACCTTCTGGGACGGATCTTTGGGGCCCACAAAAAGGCTATCTACAGTACACCTCAGCTACAGTTCAGTGAGGTAAAATGTACCTCAGTTGAGAACCTCTCCTCCGTTATTAGCTTCCCAGTGTGGGAGTTCTGTGAGAGTAGAGTAAAGATGAGACTGTGTCTCGACAGGAGCACCTGGGAGGTAATGTAAGTAGTATCTTTAGTTTTTCTGGGACTTTTACTTGGTTTTGCTCCAGCACGATTGTTGGCTATTGCTCTCATTCATGATTTGCTATGTCTGCTATTCACTTGACTTTCAGTTTTCTACTTAGCGTTGAAGGAACGCCACCAAAATTTAAAATGGTCTCTTTTGCTATGAATTTGATTAAAAAAAAAAAAAAAAAAAAAAACAAGGAAGGTTTGGATAGAGGAAAGTGATATAATTATATTACAATCTCAAAAAATAAAAAAATTTTCAAGAGTGGTCTCATTGAAGTAATGGAAAGTGAAGGCCCATAAGTATGAAGTGAACAAGAAGACAAAGTGCTGCGTGAGGTTGCTCAACTGCTGTAAAAGCCAGCGGTCAGGGCTAGGGAATGGCTCAGCTGTTAAGAGCACTTGCTCCTCTTTCAGAGGACCCAAGTTCAGTTCCCAACACCCACACCACACAACTCACAACTGCTGGTAACTCCAGCTTCAGGGCATCTGACATCCTCTCATGTCCTCCGTGGGCACCCACACACACGGTATATATTCAGGCAATCATGCACGCCTACAAAATAAAAGTGAATCTATGTATGTGTCTGTGTACACGAGAGAACAAGCAGGGCATTGTTATTGGCACTTGTTTATTTATTTTTAGTTTTTTTCAGGACAGGGTTTCTCTGTGTAGCTCTGGCTGTCCTATAGACCAGGATGTTGTGGGACACAGATACCTGTCTGTCCATGAATGTATTTTGGCCAGTTAGAGAGATCTGTCATAAAATACCATAAGGAAAGAAAGTGACTAGAAACCCCAACAAATACAGAGGTGCTTCCAGACTTGCTAGTACAGTCTGCTACAGTCTCAGCTACCCTTAAGACTGAGACACATAGACCACAAGTTCAGCTCTAGCTGGTGAGCCTTAAAAAGATCTCATTATAGCGGAAGAAGAAGGTTGGCAGTACAAGTCAGTGATAGGATAATTGACTGACATTCATGAGCTGTGGAGAAAAAGCTTATTGGGGCTAACTTTGTCCAGAGGTATTTAAACAAATGATAATGGCAAATTATCTAAAACTGCTAAGTTTAAAAGGAGGCCATGAAGGGAAGGACTTGATCTCAAAAGTGGCAGAAGAATCCTGAGGATTCTTGACCTAGATGTCAGCCAAAGTGTCCCAGAGATAATATGGCTTCCCTGTGAGAAATCTGCACACCTCGAGACTAATAAAAAGTTCTTTACTGAAGAAAAAACAAAACAAAACTTGTGGCTGGCTGTGGCTAATGCCCAAAGAAGCTAGCCTTGAGTCAAAGATTTTACTAACTTTTATACATCTTAGGCTTACACATTCACAGATTCTGTCATTCGTAAATCTCTTAGGTCCCAGCCCCAGGTTACACTTTGAACAGCTTTAACAGACAGGAGACCTCAAGTCTGGTCACTTGTTTAGATGAAAGATTTACACAGCAAAGATAATGCCAGAATTATTTCTTTTTTCTTTTTTTTAATTAATTAAGTAAGTAAGAAAGTATTACAATTTATTCACTTTGTATCCTCGCTATAGCCCCCGTCAAATAATTTCTTAAGTACACCAGTGTTCTTTTCAAATAGTTATTACCAGGGATCATCTTACCCAAATGACAGAATTATGCTTTTCTCAAGAAGAGAACTGGGCCTTTAAGACAGCCAGGATTAGTTTTGTCCTTGTGCAGCTTTTCCTATTAGACCAGTGGTGCTCAACCCTCCTAATGCTGAGACCCTTTAATACAGTTCCTCATGTTGTGCTACCCCAGTCATAAGATTATCTCGTCGTTACTTCATAACTGTAATTTTGTTAAGTGTTATAAATCATACTGTAAATATGTGATATGTAGGGTATCTGACATGTGACCCCTGTGAAAGGATTATTCAACCCCCAAAGGGGTCACGACCCACAGGAAAAGAGCTGCTGAGTTAGAGGTATGTTCTTTGAGGATGGGCCTCATGGCTGGTCAGTCCCAGTCAATCCTAGCATAGTCAATTTTGCTTATCTAACAGACTTGGTTATCAGACTACTTCTCTTTGGGGTGTTTGGAGGGTAGCACTCCCTTAGTTAGCTAAATTCTACTTTGTGTGATTTAATGCCTCCAAAGCAAATGTATTGATAAATCCTTTATTACATTAATTCTATTATTTTCAGTTTCTTCTACATAAAAAAAAAAAACAATTTCATAGATGATAGATAAGTAGAAATACCCTATTGTATTAGAAGGGAAATTAGAAAGCTTCTGGCTACTTTTAACACATTCTTCCTCTATAGTTGGATGGTGAAAGCCAGAACTGAGTGGACTTGGGAATAAATGGAAAGATAGGAAGTACACAGATAGTCTGAGTAAGATCCAAATGGGTAAAATTTTTCCTCTTAACCATTATCAAAAACAAACCAAACAAAATGCAGCAATGGACATTTTCTTTCTTTTTTTTTAAATATTAATCACAGGTTATTTACTTTGTAGCCCCCTCCCTCATTCCCTCTCAATCCCACCCTCCCTCCCTCATCTCCTCCCTGTCCCTTTCCAAGTCCACTGCTAGGGAAGGACCTCCTCCCCTTGCAATGGACATTTTCTATTGTTTGATTCTATTTTCCTTTACAAATATAACAGCTTTTAAATTTATCTGTATGTTCTTTTTAATATGTCGTTTAATCCTTTTAATATATTCACAGGTATTTGCAGCTATTAAAGAAAGTTTTTAGAGCTTTTTCTTCACTTTAAGAAAAAACGCCCACTAGCTATCATTGTGCCAATAAAAGGAAGGAAGGAAGGAAGGAAGGAAGGAAGGAAGGAAGGGAGGGAGGGAGGGAGGGAGGGAGGGAGGGAGGGAGGGGAGATAACCTCAGAGTTTCTAATGTGCTTTCTGTTCCTATATTTTTTCCTCTTCTGGATTTTCATTTGAATCGACTTACCAAATACATGGTCTTTAATATAGTTTCCAGTGCTCACCCATATTGCAGGCTTTTCAGTGTTTTATGTTTTCTGTGTATGCAGTTTTATTTAAGCTAGTGAATGGGTATATAATTCACTTAGTGCCTGATGCATATGTTATTACTAATGTCATTGTAGGTTCAGGGATTTAATTTTTGCTAAATGGCTGAACTCTTAGTGAAGCAGACGACTAGTACTTAATACACAATTGCAACAGGTTTTCTCTAATGGTTTCAGGATTAAGTATGTCCTAGAAAATTCTGCTTGATGCTCAGTATAGTTTTTTACTTATTACATACATTTATTTATTTTTGTGTGTGCATCACATTGTGGCTATGTGTAGGTCACAGGACAGTTTGCCTGAGATGGATCTCTTCTTCCATCACAGGGGTCCTATAGATCCAATCAGGTTATTAGACTTGGCAGCAAGCTTGAGAACCTGTTGAGCTATTTCACTAGCACTGTATTTTTATTTATTTTTTATTGTTTTTGGCAGTTTTGGGGATTGAACTGTGGGCCTCATGCATGCTAAGCTGAGCCTTCAAAATTTTTTTCTTTAGATCATTAAACCATTTTTATTTTAATTCTCAGACCATTGAACTTAATTTAAACTGGTAAATAATGAATTATCTAGAATTTCTGTTTGCAGAGAATATTTTCATTGGCCTCATTAGCGAGTTATTATACACTTGAAACAAGAAACCTGAAAATGTGTTCGGCAGTTCCATTTACTGATATAATTTTACTTGTTGGTTTTATAACCATGTTTGAGTTTAATAAGTGGAAAAATGTTACAAGTAGCTACCTTGTGTAACTAATGAAGGGAACAAGACCATGGATTAACCTTGGTAATGGATTTTGTTTTGTTTTATTTTAAGTAATTCAGGTTTGCTCATATTTAGTTCTATGTTTTTGTAAAGTACTCCTAAAAATTACTTGTTTAGAGTAATGTTCTATCACCCTGTTTCTCACCTGTTACAGAAATTTGATCACAGGCATAAAGCATTGAGTGGGAGGTGGCCTTTGGGAGCATTTTTGTTTTCTGCTTTTTGAATTTTCCATACAATTCCCAAAGTTACTTCTATTCCAATGACTAGAACCCACAGACTATGCTTCTTTGTTTAACTTTAGATAGTTTTATGTCCTTTTGATTGAAATCCTTGTTTTTATGGGTTTAGTGATGGCATATAATTACTTTTAGCTTATTTCAATACTGAAATTCTTACAACCTTGATTATAGATTTGAAATTTTAGGGTCTTGTACTACTACAGTGAATAAAAAGCAGAACGTATAAAATTAAGATTGTAAGAAAGTTATTGCTCCTCATTTTCCTAGTACATTCTGCTAACAATGTGGAAAGTTATTTTAAAATAATTGATGGAGATAATAACGATACAAAAATCAGTTACGATCCAAAGGTTGCCATGTTGGGTAAGAAAACCCTGAGTTTCTATCAGTGGCTTATAGAATTACTAGATTTCATTTTTTTTTTTTTTCAACATTAAGACAGTAGGGTAAGAAAAGCCTGAGTTTCTATCAGTGGCTTATAGAATTACTAGATTTCATTTTTTTCCCCATTGAGACAGTAGGGTTTTATTTTTGTTTTTGTTTTGTTCTCTAATTGTAGCATATTCAACCCAAATAACATTTGAACTATCTTCTATGAGCTATTTATTTCATATACAGAAAACCAGTTTAAGTTCACTGCTGTATGAACTCTATTAAATAAACTGCTGTTTTATTTTTTATCATTTTTTTAGTAAGACATTTTGTAAAAAATGCAAAATTCCTGAAAATTATATCGTCTCAACATAATTTGACCCTGAAAGTTCAGATGAAAAGGGGGATCTAAGGCCTGGAAAGGTGACTCAGCAGCTAAGAACAAACCTTTTGTAACTCCAGCTTCATGGGATTTGATGACTCCTCTACAGGCATCAGGCACACACACAAATCTGCAAGCAAAACACTCAAAATAAAATTTAAAAAATAAGTCTAAGAAGATTTTTTTAAGAAAAATATCTAATAGCTAAGCAAATGAGACTGTTTCATGGGGAAAATTTCAATGAAAGAAAAACTTTTTTAGCCATTCCTCCAAATTTAATGGAAGATTATGTAAAGACTTTATATGAAATAGTTTTATTTATTTCATGCAAAACATAATTTCCTTAGAACCTGTCTGTTATAGATAATCTATATATAAATGATAACTATGATGCATATTTTTAAAATATGAAAACATCTTAAGAGTATCAGGGGATGCTCTGGGCAAATCAGCTTAAGTAACAAGGTGTAGTCCAAGAGGTACTGAAGGAACAAGATATACCGGGCCTGGTCCAGAAGAAGAATTTTGTGAGTTCATTGGGAAATAAAACCCAGTTCATTCTTAACTCTAGGCATATTACAGAATTAGAATTCTGAGAGCATTGGGAAGCCTCTCACAGCTAAACCAAAGGAATGTGTGATTAGATAAGGGTTTTTTTTAGGGGGGGTATTGTTGTTTTGGTTTGGTTTTTGGTTTTTCGAGACAGGGTTTCTCTGTGTAGCTTTGGCTATCCTAGACTCACTTTGTAGACCAGGCTAGCCTCTAGCTCAAAGAGATCCACCTGAATTTGCCTGTTAAGAGTACTGGGATTACAGGCATGCACCACTGCGCCTGACTCACATAAGTATTCTTACAAGACTATATTATGCATGCTCCACATAGAATATGTTAGAGCAGTACAAGGATAATGTTGAAATCCTAATTTCTGAGACCTGTGAGTGTGGCAGTGGAACCAAAGATGTAGATAAAATTTGCAGCAGTAATTAACTTGATAAGGAAGTCCATAGGGATGGTGCAGGGTGCAGTGGTGTGCACCTGTCATCTAAGAGTTCAGGAGACTCAGACTTGAAGGTAGGCTGGATGACATAGCAAGACGCTATCTTTAGAAACAAAACAACAAAAACATGGCCCGCTGGTACAGGTCCACAGTACCAGCTATTCCAGGGTGGCTAAGGCAGGAGAATCAACAATCAAGGACTTTCTGGATCACAGCTTGAATTAAAGGCCAGCCTGGACAAATCAATAAAATCTTGTGTTTAAAAAGAAGGGAAAGAGACACATAGAGCTCAGTATAAAAAAAAAAAAAAAAATGGAACTGAAAAGATGGCTCAGTAGGTGAAGTATTTGTCAACCAAACACGATCACCTACATTTGGATCCCAGCACTAAAGTGAAAAAAGCTCAGCTTAGGGGCTGGAGAGATGTCTGCAAGATTAAGAGCACTTGGTACTTCTTCAAAGGACAAGAATTTGGTTCCCAGGACTCACATTGGGCAACTTAAAATCACCAGCCCCAGGGAATCCAATACCATTTTTGCCTTCCAAGAGTGTCCAAACATTTGTGTTCATACAAACACACACACACATATATACAAATAAAATCTTTTTTTTTTTTTTTTTTTTTTTTTTTTACAGAAAGCTGGGAATAGTAGTGCATGCCTATAATCCTAGTGTTGGGAGGTTGAGACTAGATAATCTTAGGGGCTCAGTAGCCAGCCAGTCTAACCAATCTGAGCTTTAGCTTCAGTGACAACCCTGTCTCAAAAATAAAATAAAAGCATAAAGTCATCAAAAAGACAACTTGAACCTCTACTTGTATATAAAGAAGAAGAAGAACAAGAACAAGTATACATACTATTTCTTTTTCCCCATCACACACAAACACATAGGATGTAGTCAGCCTAAAATTCTCATTCTGCCCTATCACAGTAAGTAAAACCTTGTCCCAATAGTTGAGATGAGGACTAGCAAAAAATAACTAGGAGAGAGGGCTAACTGACTATTACTTGAATTTGCATGAAAATGTACTGTTATTTATTTTTGGACTTGAGTTTGAAGTTACTTTGTAGTCATAGTTTTCTCTTTTTGTATGTATAATAAATATAAACAGTTAACTTTGTTGAATAGATGAATAGACTAAAAGTTATTCAGTTTTATGGTCTTGTTTTGCAGTTAATAAAGAAGGTGACCCTAGAAGAGCCTACCCTCTCTTGTGTTAAGTTTTAGAGAATTCCTTAAGCCTTGCTTTCTTGAATTTAATATCTTTACAAGACAATCTGTAAAGCTATTTCTAGCTTTAAGATTCTGGGAGGGTTTTGGTTTTTTGGTTTCCCATGTGAACATGAAATCTGCAGTGAGTAGAAGAAAATTCTAGAGCCATATTCTCAGTGTATAAGAACCAAGAAGAATTATTCCACTGACTTGTTACAGCGTATGTGCCCAGAATAGGACTAGGATCCAAAGGAGTACATGCAGATACTCACTTGAGTACTGATTCATTTTTGATAGTAAATATCTTTGCTTCATTTTGATTTTATGAGAAATTTTCTCAAAATCTTAAAAGTACATAGTAGCAACTTACAAAACAAGGAGTAAGCACATTGGGTTCCCATAGCAGTATTCGCTGTTGCTATTAACAGCATCTCGTGTTCTTCAGAGCACTGTTTCTGTGGAGTTCAAGGTAACACAATTGGGCTTTTAGGGTGTACAGTGGCCTGTCCACATTAGTGTATATGGACAACTCTACTATAAAAAGTTACACTGGAAAAAATCCTCTTCCATTCTCTTACAACGTTTCTTGTTTTATGGAGCTTATAAATACTCTAGCATCAAGCTTGTGATATCTCTGAATGTGTTGTGGGGAGATTAGCTATGTAAATTCATAATCTACTGACATTTATGATTATACTTCAGTGCTAAGTTTTACATGTAAGAGTCTTCATACTTTCTTTCAGGGACAGAATGATGCTGCTGAAATTGGAACAAGAAATTTTAGATTTCATTGGTAATAATGAGTAAGTTCTGACATTTAACAAGAAAAGAAACTGTCGTTTTAATTGTCCTTTCCTCACTAAATTGGCTGTTCTTTTCCTTTCAGGTCCCCACGTAAGAAGTTTCCCCCAATGACATCTTACCACAGGATGCTGTTACACAGAGTGGCTGCCTACTTTGGACTAGACCACAATGTTGATCAGAGTGGGAAGTCTGTCATAGTGAACAAAACTAGCAACACAAGAATGTAAGTATACAGCTTTACATCATCTATCGACTAATACTTGCCTTCCTACAGCACCTTCTATCTGCAGTAAATTTCCTGATAACTTCATGTGATAGAGCCAAAGAGTACATTTGTCTCACTAGGAGCAAAGTGCACACCTGGATTCAGATGAGGTAAACTTGCTGAGGAACAGCAGTAACAGCCTTTCAGGGCATGCTGTCAGCCATGTTTGACAACTACTCCCTAAATGATTTTTTTTTTTAAATTTTATTTTTAGGTATCGGCCACCTTCAGGCAATTTGTTTAAATAATTTAAAGAAACAAAATATTGAGCAGGTTTGACACCCTCACATTTAGTCCACCATTTTATTATCATTTCCAAAGTCCTGTTTTGTTTTGTTGGCTTTGTTTTGTTTTGTTTTTTCTTTTCCTTTTTCTTTTTCGTTTTCTACCTCAAATCTGAAGAAACTGTAACTCCTAGATAGTGTAGTGTCTTCCAAACTTCTGTGTTCCTTTCTTGAGTCATATCTGATTTATTGAGGAAAAACATTTTAACGGTTAGAAGGAGCCCTTTGTCTTAAAGTAATTGCCTTTAAAAACTGTGGTACAACACTTGCCTAGCAATGCTCAAGGACCTTGAATTCTAAAAAAGTCCGCTAGCCTCATGTTCTCTGGAGCACTGGGATTCTAGACCTGTGCCACCACACATGTGCAAAAGTATTCTCTGTATCTTTTTTGTTTAGAGTAGAAAGAAGCCTAAGATAGTAAGTACCCATCAATCTCAGGTGCCACAAATAATGTTCTTCACTTCATTGCTTATCTCCCTTTCCTCAGGTCAGATATTTCCCAGAGTCTTGTCTATGACTCATTCATTTTACATGGTTAAATTTAATTTGTCTAGTCCCTTCACTTACCATGGCCTTTGACTGTATAGCTGCCCTATTGCTTGCTGAAGCAAAAGTGGGGCTCCCCCATTTTAGACAGTCTTTGGCAACTAAATAGGTGTGTTTTTTATTTTAATGGCTATACCTGCAACTAAAATTCTTAGACATAATTGTCTTGAACAGAAAATCCTCATAAATTTCTGGGACTTATTAGAAAATGTAAATCTGATTTAATTTCATCATGTCTATTCATTAGTATTATATAAACATCTTTTAGCTATTAATCCTTTCCCAGTTGATTCTATAGTGACTAAAGTAGGATAGTATCCAGTAGGATATAGATGAAACCTAAAGTGGCTAGAACTGTATACTCTTTAACCAGTACCTTTCAACAAACTCAGAGCTGCTGGATGCCCGAACACATGAACATTAGCAGGCATTTTGACTAACATTTTGACTGACAACTCTCTAAGGTTTTCAATACAGTGTAACCTCAGTTATTTGAATTTTATGATGTCAGAAAAGCTTTAGGGTTGTTTGTAAAGGTAATCAAAATTTAGTTAAGCAAAGATATTTACAAATTATGGGTTAATGTAATTATAATTAATTGTTTCAGATCATTGAAGTTACACTGTATTCTTACTTTATATCTTCTGGGATATGAAGAAGGCTGTAAATCAGAAAACCTTAGAGATCTGCTCCACATGAATAAAAACAAACTTACCTTTTCCTCATAGGGAGATTACCCGCTCCAGCCTTGAACCAGTGGTGTTGTGGATGTCAACAACCGCGTGTCCACTGGGGTGTCTCAATGGAGCGGGAAGTTGCCGATTGCAGGGCAGTAAATTCAGGCATCTTTAAAAGAAAGAGGTAAGACAGTCTTAAGGTTAGCTGAAATGCCTGCCAATATTATTTGTGTGGGAATCCAGCTGTTCTTAGAAAAGTTGCCAGGGCCTTGGTTAAACCATAGAAGTTCACTTCAGTATAAGAATGTCTCACTCAAATAAAGATGCCTCAAATAAGAAAATGTGACATTGCACAGCTACAGTTATAGGTAATAAAAGTAAATGAAACAATCCTGTGACAAGTGGGTATTATCAGTACTAAATATATGACCTTTCAAACTCACAAAGAAAGCAGACTTCTCATCATTTGGTCATGAGCTGTTGTGCTGTTACCTTCTTACTTTGATATGGATCTTTTTTCTTTCTTTCTTTCTTTCTTTCTTTCTTTCTTTCTTTCTTTCTTTCTTTCTTTTTTTTTTTTCAGTATCTGCTATGTTTCATCATTTTACAGTACAGATTTCTTCCTCTTGCTTAGATAATTCTCATTTCTAAATCTCCTTTTATATAATTTACAGAAGTCAGCTACAATTATTTATTAAAAATTTGGTGGATTGAGATGACTGTGGTGGCACATGCCTTTTTAATCCTAGGATTTACTGGGTGGAAGCAGGGGGAATCTCTGTTTGAAGCCAGCCTGGTCTACATAGCAAGTTTCAGACCAGCCAATATTTCACAGTGAAACCCTATTGCAAAAAAGAAAAAATTACTTGCTAGATTGAAACAAGTATTTATCCATGTTGTTTGGATTCTATTTATAGTGAAATGTTTGGTCTTAGTTTGCCGAAATGTCATTGCTCAGGTTTATGATTAAAATTTGTTGATTGCCAGGCATGGTGATCAACACATCTTTAATCCCAGCACTTAGGAAGCAGAGGCAGGCAGACTCTGAGTTAAAAGCCAGTATGGTCTACAGAGCAAGTTCTGGGCTAGCCAGAGCTACACAGTGAGACACTGTCTCAAAGAAATGAAATTTTATTCATGGTATTCTCATATTGCTTATATTTATGCATATAAATATGTATTTGAACTATACACAGAGGAAACTATAGGAAATTTATTAGATTTTCTTTAGACGTATTAAATGTATATATATTGTATGTTTTAAAAATAATCCCAATGTAAAATGGTAATAAATCTCAGAATATTGATTGACTAACTTATGGAGCTGAGAATATATTGGTAGGGGTTAATTTATTTTTCTTTCTTTAGTTAATCACTTTAAAGCCTGATCCCAACCCCCTCCCTTTTCTCCCAGTTCAACCCACACACATACACACACACCCTGCTCCGCTTCTTCTCAGAAAACGGGAGGCCCCCAAGGGGTACCATCCCAACTTGGTACCTCAAGCCACAGCAGGACTGGGTCCATCCCCTCCCTCTGAGGCCAGACAAGGCAGCCCAGCTAGGGGAAAGGGACTTAGAGACAGGCAACAGAGCCAGAGACAGCTTCTACTCCAAGCGTTAGGGGACCCACATGATGACCAAGCTGTACATCTGCTACATATGTGTAGGAAGCCTAAGTCCAGCCTTGCAAGCTCTTTGGTTGGTGGTTTAATTGGCAGAGGTCAATTTTAACATAAGTTTAATGTCTAGGGCCCTTAATCATTTATCTGTCTTTTAGGTCTTAGTGAAACTTGAGCATTTCTAATCTGAAAAAAAAAACAATATGCTGCAGAATATATATTAAACTTCACAGTCATTTTCCAGTGTTAAAATCTACATAAGAGCTTATCATTTTTAAGTTACCACTATTTAAGTTAGTGCAAAACAAAACTACACCCGATGTAATTAAGACTTTTTTGGAAATTGAATACATTTTCAAGTAGTCTCTTAAAATTTTAGTTAATTCAGTACGAAACACTTGATTGCTTTCATTTTCTACCATGAAGAACATAGGGGTGTAATGCATGTGACACAGTTCGTGTCTGTTTCTTGGTCACTGTGACACGGACAGGATGTTAGCCTTGAGGTCTGACAGCCCTGGGCTCCAGCTGTGGCTGAGCTGTCTGCATACCTGTTGGCTTGTCATAGGCGCTTCGGCTGTTTAAAGCTCAGTGTCCTCAGGGGTGTTATAACAGGGTGCTGCTGCATTCTATTTTTTTGCTAATTCATTTCATCTTTAGAACAACCCTGTTTGCCAGATAAAATAAAATTCACATCCACACATGAGAAAATGGGAAGAAAAAGATGAAATACTTATGCATATCGTGGGACTGCATAAGTATTAAGAGCACTATCAGCTCTTCCATAGGTCCCAAGTTCAATTCCCAACAACTGCATGGTGGTTCACAACCAACTGTAATAGGGTCTAATGCCCTCTTCTGGCACACAGGTGTACATACAAATAGAGCACTCATACACATAAAATAAATTAATCTTCAAATAAATACTTATGCATATCTTAAAACCTGTACTGTGTTAAAAAGCTAGACTTGAACGCAGTGTGACTCAGAGCCCATGCTGTTGTAATAAGACCTCTGTACCATCCTGTAGAATAGTGTTTCCGCATGTGTATCTCGTTACGATAAGGTGAAATGGAACAGCACTGAGAAGTAGCACGGTAGTCTTTATTACCTTGCATATAATATTGTTTCGCCTCTTTGTAAGTACTATACATTTAGTTTTTTATTCCTTTTTCTTATTTCTTTTTTTCAGACCTGATCAGAAATTTAATGAACATATTAAGGATGATAGAGGCGAAGACTTTCAGAAACGATACATCCTTAAAAGAGATAACTCTAGCTTTGACAAAGATGATAGCCAGGTAATCTTGAGAAAAATGCACCATTATTTTAAGTGCAAGCTTTAACTATCCCAATAGTTCATTTTGCTAATAATTGTTTCCCCCTCTTTAGATGCGAATACGTTTAAAAGATGACAGAAGAAGCAAATCAATAGAAGAAAGAGAAGAAGAATACCAGAGAGCTAGAGACCGAATATTTTCCCAAGATGTACGTCCAATTTACCCTTAGGACTTTATGCTTTACTATTCTAGTCTCCCCTTCAGCTATTGATTATTGATTTTTAACTATATTGGTTGCATACACACCAGGTCATGTTTTTTAAGTAGGTATCTTGTTCATCTTAACTTAACAGTACATTAGAAAAATAGCGTAAAGTTTTACCAAAATGGAACACGGGTAGACCACAGCAAACAACAGAGCATAAGAATAAATTACTGTTTGTAATAACTTTTTTAACCTTGTGACAAATGAGATTTTTATAACATTGGTAGCTAAATCTTACTTTGTTTATAATGAACTTAACCTTAATAAATAACTTGTAAGATAAAGTTAGTTGATCTTTTAGATTAATAGTCATTATCTACTTCATAAGTATCAGAGACATCTGCATGACTCATTATTTTATGCATATTTGTGAAAAATGAATACTGACATTGGTTATACACCTGTTTTTTTGCAGTACTTAGTACTTTTAAGGGATATATGAACAATTGTAATGTATGATTCCTCTGCCACAGAAGGAAATGTTATCATTGTTGAAAGCAAAGCAAAACAGTAAATAACATTAAAATTTAGACCATCAGTTATGAATTTATAACATGTAATAAATAATGTTGAGTGTTTATTATAAGTGCTATGCTGGATACTAAAGACCATATACATGGACAGTCATAATTTATCCACAGAACACCTCTTTGTGGTCAGTATTATCATACTCGTATTTTATGGATAAGGAAACTGATACAATAGAAAGCTATGCAAAGTAGCTAGAGTAAATAACACGTAGAAAATGGCTCATTTGGAATTTTAATCCAAGTCTGATGAACTCAACATCTCTATTAGATAAATGTTTCCTTTGGTATTTTTATTTCATAAGCTAGGTGGCATACTGCCATTGACAAGTTGTCAGATTATAACAATATGGTGTGTGAATCACAGAGACACATGAAGTCACAGTAGATAAAGAAGCACTGCAAAGTCAAACTGGAGATGGGATGGTAGAGCTCTTAAGTTCAAGTAGAAAAATCGGTATTTTGTAGAGGCTCACAGGGAAGGGAAAACTTGGAATACAAAGAACTGAATGATTTAAAGTAGCAAGAACATAACCTGTAGATGCCATAAGTAAGGAAGCCTTAGACATTCAGGAACTTGATGCTTTGACCCTAAACCTTTGGTAAGGTAGCTGAACTTTTGGTGTGTATTGTTTTCTTTGTATACACAGTCAAGTAATCGATATTTTATGCATCTTGAGCCACATTATTTGTATCTGCTCAAAACTGACTCTGGTATGACAGCACCCATAGTACATAGTCATGGTTGTCTTCCAGTAAATCTTTATTTGTAAAAACATGGGTTGGCTGTATGATTCTGACCCCTGTGCCAAAGGCGTCGTCAGAGATGGAAGAATTACCTCTTAGAGAGCTTGTTCTGGCTTCTGCTCCACAAAGTGAATGAGTAGAGCACAATTTTATAACTATAAAGTGTTTAGAGACTGTTGCAGTAGTACAGGCAGAAGTGACTGGCTGGGTGTGCTGGTGCACGCCTGTAGTCCCAGCACTCAGGGGGTGGAGGCCAGCAGATCCCTCTGAGTTCAAGGCCAGCCTGGTCTACAGAGGGAGTCCAGGACAGCCAGGGCTGCACAGAGTAACCCTGTCCTGAAAAAACAAAAAGAAAAAGTGATCCTTTCCTGACGTGGATTGACAACCCTGGAGGAATTTGACTAGAAGTCCTTAAGCTCTAGCTGCTTATTCCCAGTTTTATCCATTTGTTCTGTGTGTTACCACTGCCATGACTAGAAATAGGGACTGTGTTGTAGTGAATTGATCAGCCTTTGGTGTTTTGTGCTCACATGTATTATGTGTGTATGTGCATGTGCGTGAGAGGTTAGAAGACAACTTTGAGGAGTTGGTCACTAACTTTTGCATGAAGGTCATAGGGCTTGGTGTCAGGAGCTCTTACCTTATGAGCCTTCTTGCCAGTCCCTTCATCAGTTTTTGGTCACCACTAATCAAATATTCATGAATAAGATAGACTCTGTCAACCCTGAATATATGTTCAATATAACTGAGTTCTTTCATTTTAGGGAGACTATTTGAATTTCAAATTCATTTTGACAATGAATGACTTCTAAGTTACATTTATTAAAAATAATAATAGAGTCTCCAACCCATGAAAATTCCATTACCATTCATTGACTTTTGGGTGGTTGTGCGTGTATATATTTATCTGTGAGCCTAGCCTTAAGCCATCTCTCTAGCCTGTAGGGGGTATAATCTTAAAGTTACTATATGTGATTTGTTGTTGTTGTTGTTACCGTTGCTGTACAGATGACATCTTGTGTTTGACAAACTTTTTACCTTTTTCTTTCTAGTCTCTGTGTTCCCAAGAGAACTATATTATTGACAAAAGGTAAGGAAATCTTTAATATCTATCCTGGGTAGTAACTAGTTGATGCTAACAGTTTAAATGTCTTATTAAAATGCCAACAGAATCCAAGATGAGGACACTAGTGGTACCCAGCAGAGGCGCCAGATATTTAGGTATTAGAAGCATGTTTTCCAGACACTGTTAAAAAATTTAAAGTATTTTTTCTCCCTTATCCCCCATTAGCTTTTCAATGTTTTATTTCTAAATTACAGAGTTAATAAAGATGCTTCAGGGAGATCAACAAACAGCCATCAGAGCAGCACTGAAAACGAATTGAAATACACAGAGCCACGACCCTGGAGCAGCACAGATTCAGACAGCTCCCTCCGGAACCTGAAACCGGCAGTAACCAAAGCCAGCAGCTTCAGCGGAATCTCGGTCCTGACAAGAGGTGATAGTTCTGGAAGCAGCAAAAGCATAGGCAGGCTTTCAAAAACAGGTATAAGTATCTACCTACAATTGTGCAGTCAGAATGTTTTTTTGCCTGAAGTCTTAGCTCCTAATTACATGATTCTCATTATACCACAATGTAAAGTTATCTTTGCCTCAGTAGACACCTACAAAGCATAAGAGTGATGGCTATACTGACATTAGGAATCATTTTGACCTGGAGATAGAATTGCAAACTGAAGTGAAACTCCTTGTCTATTACTGACTGTATAAACGTACCCTGGTAGCTCGGTGACTCGTTTCGTGTACAGCGGACACGACTGGAAATTCCTCTTTGCTTGTTTATGATTGGAAAGCATGACTTGTCACCTAGGATTGTTTTAACATTAGGCAGATTTCATACTATCAGATTTTGATTGCATTTTTTCTTGACTTATCCTATAAGAAATGAATAAAAATTTTGAGAACTTTTTGAGGAACTTAAAAGCCAAAGAAAAATAATGTATCTACAATTATTATAAACAGAAATTTAAATAATCTGCTGGTGCTCTTGGCTGCTTTGTACTTCAGATAATTGGTCATAGCATTTTCTCAAAAGAATAGAGCAGTACAGAATTCCATGTGTCTCTTAGGACTTTCATACATTTTTATATTTTTAATCTTAAAATAAACATAGAAGTCAGAAATGGCTATTTCTCCCTATTCTATTTGGATTAGGTTAAATATAAAATGAGTGTTGAGCAACTACATTTTGAAGATATATTGAGGCAGCAGTATTTTTTTAATATAGTATGTGCTTTAAATTGCTTATGTTTGAATTGCATTTCTACCTCAAAATACAAATCTATGAAAAAGTCTTCGTAGATATGGTAACATTGCTAAACATGGTAGTAAGTCTTATGAATGTTTATAATTTTGTGCACTTATCTATGTGTTCTGCAATTTGGTCGTAACCAAAAGAAAACAAATGTTTTTGAGGAAGTGTTTTAGAGAGTGCAAGATTCACCGGCCTTTGCCTCCCAGGTGGTGAGAGCAAAGATGTGCACACCAGCATGCCTGGCCTACCTTAAAACATTGTAATAACCCACGGGCACTCAACTTGCTCAGCCAGTCAGTACAGTCTCTGTTCACGCACATACACACATGCACATACACACAAATAATAATAAAATAAAAAATAACTTCTGCTGTTTTATCTTAAGAGATAATGGGATGTTTTAATCTTTTAGTCTGTAAATGTGACAGAGTTCTCGTGGTGGTTCACAACCTTATTCCCATCACTCGGGAAGAAGAGACAGGTATATCTCTGAGTTCTAAGACAACCAGGGCTACATGTATAAACCCTGTCTCAAAAAAGATAAAGGAAGAATGATAACAGTTGAAGTATCATTTTGATATGACTTAGAGTAAAAGCTTTCCTCAGAAGACAGTCTGTATAGTGTATCATAATTATTACATTCATTAAAACCTTTATTCCAGAGTCAGCTCCCTTAATTACAACCTAACTAACTACAAGTACTACCTGAATATGTTTGTATCTTTCATTGTCTCATTGTCCATCATTAGTCATTATGTATTAAAAGTCAGTGACAGCTTTAATTCCTGTGAAACAGACTGTAGGCTTGAGAGTAATCAAAATTCAGTCATAAAATTAGGTTAAGTATGGTAAGAAATAAATTTTAAACTAGCTTGTTAATATAAATACTTGAAATATTTTTCATACTATTCCTGTTGCTAGATTAAAAAAAAATATTTTCTCAGTTCACAATATAGGTATAGGAAGATGCTGGCTACAAATGCAGATGAAGCTATGTAGTGAAACTTGGCAGTTGCTTCTTTTAATAGATAATTTATCATTTCTGTTGTTTCCCACACCATGCTTAATCTTTTTGTGTTCTTGTAGATCAGGGTTTCTGATACATGAGATTTTGGGCATTTGGCTGTGCTAAGTTCTTTTTCCTGGGGAAATTGTAATCTTATATTTCTAAGTGTTAATCTGAAAGGTAAAATGTATATAACGTGTCCTTTTGAAAGTGTCGGTAGTATGCTTCTTCGGCTGTCTGTGGCTTGTGTTACTGTAAACTTGGCAAATTGCATGCTTTGGCTCTGGCTTTTCTGACAGTTTCTTTGCTGCTATTTGCTATATTAAAATTATATTTAAGAGGGTAAGCAAAAAAAAGAACCACTGGGCAGTAAATTATAGTAGCCATTGCTATTATGTTATGACTGCATGTTGTATAATGTAAACTGTACTGATAGGTTTTTTAAACCTGTATTTTTATATGAAGTTTTTTTTAATGTCATGTTTTCCATTGCTCTTCCCCTAGGATCTGAGTCTTCAGGTAGCGTAGGGTCCTCCACAGGCTCTCTTTCTCACACCCAGCAGCCTCTCCCAGGCTCTGCTCTTAGCCAGTCTTCTCATGGCACACCTGTCGTCTACCCAGCAGCCAGCACTCACAGCTCTCTTTCCTTTGATGGTGGCCTCAGTGGGCAAGGTGCATCTCCTAGCACTAGCTTCCTTTTGCTTCCCTTGGAAGCCGCTGGCATACCACCTGGCAGCATTCTGATCAACCCACAGACAGGTGGGTATCTAGAGAGAGAGTTCATTTCAGTTGACATAGCAGAAGATATCTAAACATTAGGGGACTTCTAAAAATATTTTATTTAAATATGTTTATGTTGTCAACTTTTTAATTGCCATTGTCCTGAAAACTTTCATAGGAATGTTTAAGCTGAAAAATGTTAAAAGTTTTGTTCATATTGTAAGACAATTTTTTCCACATGCCGTCCATGATGTGTAGGCTAAATAACAGCTTGACTATAAACAATTAATTCCAATGAAGTGAGTCAACTACCTTTGAGAGAATTTTACGTGGTATAGCATTTTTATTCCGTAGAAAATAACATGAAGAAGAACCAAGTAAAAATACCTATAATGTGCTTTAGAATATGGTAATTGTTTTGTTTTTTGTTTTTGGATTTTTGGTTTTTTTTTTTTGTTTGTTTTTTTTTTTTTTTTTTTTTTGGAGGGGAGCGAAATATTGCTTCATGACAGGGTTTTTCTGTGTGTACCTCTGGCTGTTCTGGATTTCTGTAGACTAGGTTGGTCTTGAACTCAGAGATCCACCTGCCTCTGAGTCCTCAGAACTGGGATTAAAGGCGTGTGCCACCACCACCCAGCTTGTTAATTGCTTTCTTCTTAAAAATATGAAAGACATTGTTTCTTCTAAAAAGGGAGGGGTAGTTATTATAAATTAATGTTGATAATATGTGAGAATACATGTTCTTAGTCCTTGACATTAACTAATAATATTAGTGAACATTTACTTTTGACCATATACAGTTTTATAAGGTATTATTTCAGACCCTGCTGAGTTCATTATAATCAAAATATTTTCTGTAAGGCTGGAGAGATGACTCAGTCATTTAAAAGTTCTGGCTTCTCTTTCTGAGGACCCAGGTTTAGTTCTAATCACCCACATGGGTGCTCATACTTTAAATTCTTCCTTTATGACCTCTATAATGATCCTTTTAGACAGGAGAAATCCCCATTTACAGTAGGGAAATTGAAATATGTAGATATAAACAAGGTCATATATTTTACCACACATAATCTGTTGATATTAAAGTTATTTCATAAGTACAAGTTTAAAGCTGTCAGATATTTACATTTTCAATCAGTCTTTTGCGGGGGATCGTGGATTGTTTTGTTTTGTTGGTTTTATTTTGTTGTTTTGTTTTGTTGGTTTTATAACACAGGGTTTCTCTGTGTAGCCCTAGCTGTCCTGGAATACGTTCAGTAGACCAAGCTAGACTCAAATTCAGAGATGCACTTGCCTCTGCCTCCAGAGTTCATGAGCCACAACTGCCCAGCTTCAACCTTGTGCTTCTTAAAGTGACATATACTCAGTGTAGCCTATAACCCAGATCATTTCCCAACTCCTTAAAAATTTGTGAATGATTTCCTGATGTCTTGGAGTCTCAGGCATTTCCTTTTTGAATTGAAATGCTCACCATCCCTAATGACCATGCTGAGACTAGACAGAGGTGGGAGTGCTGGCTCTTTAGAATGCTCTTGACCCATTTTTCCTTTGTTTATAGTAGCTGAACTACAGTCCTGTGGTTCATAGTCCTGCACCAGAATAAGACTAAGAACTCAAAACTTTTCAGAACAAATGTTAATGATTGATTTTTATTTTATATGTTTGGGTATTTGAATTGCATGTATGTCTATGTACTGCAGTGAGTGTAGTGTCTACAGGGACCACAAGGTGTCAGATCCCCTGGAACTAGAGTTACAGGCGGTTGTGAGTTGCCTTGTGGGTGATGGAATCCAAACTTGGGTCCTCAGGAAGGGCAGCCACTGCTCCTACCTACTCAGTCATCTCTTTCCAGTCCCTCAGAAAATATTTTGATCACTAGTGAGCTCAGTGGAATTTGAAACAACACCCTGTCCCAAAACAAGTAACATTTAAATATTTATACTAAATGGAAAACGTAAAAGTTGTTAATAACTACGTTTCAAATCAAGGTACTTACCAAGCTAAGAAAAACTTGTCTTAAGAAACTAGGAGTTAAGGAATTGACGTAAGAATGTATTTTATAAACCAGTAGGGACAGTTTTATTTTTAAACTCTGTTGTGCATTTACTTTTTCCTCATTTTTGAACCTTTTAGGTCAGCCCTTCATAAACCCGGATGGAAGTCCAGTTGTGTACAATCCTCCTATGACTCAGCAGCCAGTTCGAACCCAAGTGCCTGGTCCCCCACAGCCACCTCTGCCACCCCTACCACCTCAGCAGCCAGCCGCCAGTCACATGTTCTCACAGGTGCACAAATCCATGATTCTATAACGCTAAGCTCAGCTGCTTTTGCATATGTAGGGCTAAGACTGAGGTCGACAGGTAAGTATCTTTACAGCTTTAATATTCTGTTCTCAGTGATGGCCCACTCAGTAGTCGCAGGAAAACATGTTCAGATCATACACTTGAAATGACTAAATACTGAGGATATATTAGAAAGGGGGAAGTGGTTTTATCTCATGGGCAGCAAGAAGTAGACAAGGAAAAATAAAAACAAAAATTTCTCATTGGCCTAGTGAGCAAAGTGAGTTATTAAGACTGAATAGATCAAACAGAAGTAACTACACTGTGCTACTCAAGCCATGCAGAGTACTCTATTCTATTGCAAGGGTAGAACTGGGTGGATTCTGAGAGTTTGTTTTTCATTATTTTTAATAAAATTTGTTTATTTGTGTGTGTGTGTGTGTGTGTGTGTGTGTGTGTGTGTGTGTGTGTGTGCGTGCGTGCGCGCGCGCGCGCACACCACAGCGTGCATTTACTGGTCAGAAAACAATTTACAGGAGTTGATTCTTTCCTTCCACTTTATGTGTCTTAGAGATAAACCTCAGGCTGTTGGGCCTGTCAGCACATATTTTCACTTGCTGAACTTAGGCCCCTGAGAGTTCTTCTGTTTTATTTATTCATTTATTTTCATTTTGAGACTGGGTCTCATATCACAGCTGACCTGGGAACTTGCACTGTAGACCAGGCTGCTCGTGTGTGCTTTACAAGTGTTGGCACTAAAGGTATGCACCACCATGCCTAGCTTTAAAAGGTTTCTTAACCATGCCTTTAGAGTTTATACATACATATCTACATTGTCTTTTTGTTCCCTAATCATTTGTCATCTGTTTAGAGAACTTGATTTTATGTGTCTAATCCCTATTTTCAGGCCAACTTGTAAAGGTCCTGTAGCACTCTTCAAAGCTTTTTTCTGTAGAGTTGTATGTCTGTCGTTTCCCAAACCTCTGAGTAAGGTATAGAGAGTGTCGTCTAGAAACGGAAGCGTTAAGAGCTGAATTTCAGGTCTGGAGGTAAACATCCAATTCTCGATTGATTTAACTAACACATTTTTATAACATTGCAGTTAGCTCCTCACAGAATCAAAACTCATTGACTACATGATACCCAGTTACTTGTTTTTCATATTCTGAGTTCAATGACTTGTGTGATTTCACATAACTAAACATAGTGTATCTGTGACTTCCAGACATGCCCTCTTCAAGGGTGCTGTGTTTCTTGAGTATACAACATAAAACCAGTCACTAAATGGATGTTGCTTTGCAGCTGCAGTTCAAGTTGGGAAAGAGAATGCTAAGGCTTCCTTGTCAATGTGGTGTCAGGGTTTTGCTCTGATCAGCCACTCTTCTATCTTACAGTTAGCTCTCTCTGCCGTTTAGCACTCTGGGAGGCATTTGTTTATACTGTAGGTGCTCATCTTGTATTCCTTCCATTCCCTAGCAGATCTAAGTTTTTGCTTACCTGGCATTTGAGTAGGTCATATTGACTGAAGAAAGATTATATCTATTGCTTATGTGACGTAGTGTGTCAAGTAGCTACTTGCACCTCATTAGCATGCTTCAGGCTGTCCTCAGCTAGCTGAATGGGAGCTGAGAGATTTCTCAGGACCATTAGCAACTCTCTGGATCATTCAGCTTTTACTTTTCTTGTGCTTTTGTTTTAATCTTGTTTTGTTGGACTCCAAACATATCTAAACCTTTTATACTTCTATATTATTCTGTTGATTTTCCTATAATAAAAGAGTAAATGATCATTGTAAATCTCAGTTGTCATAAACATTTTTCCTTGTTATTTCTGTGTGGTCTTTCTATATCATATGCATTTTAAAATTACTCTTTCCAGGAACATTATCCAGAACAGGCTTCATGTGTGATATACTTTTTAACAAATGAGGTTTTGTCAGATAAGAACTACTTGAGTTCTTCATTGGCTTGCTTACCTGGCATAGTAAAAATTACTTAGTCTGCTTTTTTATCTGTAAAGTAGATTACTGTGGATCACCTATTTTTATTACCTTTGGAAAGCAATTTTATTTTCCCTGAAACACAAGGATGTTTGGCTGCAGATTTCTAGTATTTAGTTTCCCAGCTTCTACCATGAATTCTTCTAATAAAAATATATTTAGCATTAGCCACAAGGAAAGGGTTTTATTTTTCTTAAGTAAAAGACATATGTTTATGTGTATAGATTTGTTTTGGTCCTGGTATAGTTATTAAGATTTATTCATTTTATGTGTATAAGTATTTAAATTGCCTAAATGTATGTATATATGCCATGTGAGTGTGTGACACCTGTGGAGGTCAAAAGAAGGCATTAGATTCCCTAGAATTAGAGTTACAGGTGGTTGTGAGCCATATGTAGGCTCTGGGGACTGAACTGGGCCCTCTACAAGAGTACGTGCTCTTAACTTCTGGAATATTCCTCTGATCCCTGAGCTGGTTATTCTTAATTGTTTTCTCACAAAATAGTTGTGTTTTAGGAACATTATCTCTGAGAATTTCGACATGCTTTATCAACTAGGAGAATTGGTACTGATGCCATATAAATTCATAAGGCTTTTTAAATTTTATTTATTTTTGAAATATTTATTTATTATATATACAGTATTCTGTCTGCATGTGTGCCTGCAAGCCAGAGGAGGACACCAGAAACATTATAGATGGTCATGAGTCACCATGTGGTTGCTGGGAATTGAACTCAGGACCTCCAGAAGAATAGCCAGTACTCTTAACTTCTGAGCCATCTCTCCAGCCCCCCAAGGCTTTTATTCATAGAGCAACATAAACATAGGACAGGCCCTTCATAAAAATCAGGAAATAAGAGTAAGAAGTTTTGTTTTTACTGATATAACTCAGATAATTGTATTTGAAATGGTTAATTATCTGTTACTATTAACCTGCCAAAGTTACATTTATGACATAGAAGTTAATCATTTTCATTATGAAATCAGTTTGAGCCTAGGTCTTGCTGTGTAGAGTTCTTCATTTGATACTGTTTTTCCTATTGATTCTCTTGTATTTTTAATGACTTTGTGAGTGTTAAAGTTGTTGCCCCAAAGTGTAAATTTCCATGCTGTGCAATTCCTGTAACATTTTTTTCTGACATTAACTGTTTGCCCACCTGTTATTCCTAGCCTGTTGGTCCTCTGCAGTCCTCTTCTCAGCCTGTTCAGTGCTCTCCAGCCCCCTACCCATCCCCGCTCCTGCCAGTCTCACCCACCCAGCAGTACTCCGTGGTACTGTATCTCTTTTCACCTCGTTGTTACTATGGGCAATGCGTGATGAATGCTTCAGACTGTGTTCATTGTGATATGCTCTCTTCAGTTTTTCTTACAGGGAGGTACATAGGTAACAGAGGTGTTTTCTAATCCATATTAATAATACTGCATTCCTTTTCATAAGACAGTGCTTGTATCAGCTTTTCATAACTGTTTAAGACAATATTATTCCTGATTTTTCAAAAGGGAGATTTTCAAGATGAGTGTTCTGACCTAAGTATTGCCAGATATTTTAGTTATTTTTCTCATTGAAGTCGGTTTTGAATCTATTTAATCCTGTAATGGCAATGTCAGAGAGTATCTATTGCCCTGATTAAAACACCCTGACTAAGAGCAACTTGCATAGGAAAGGGTTTATTTCATCTTACAGCCCTCAGGGGTAATAATCTACCTCTGTGAGAATTGAAGGCAGGAACTCAAGCCAGGGACCCGTAGGCGGGGATTAAAGCGGATGCCATGGAGGGGCGCTGCTCACTGGCTTGATACTCGTGGCTCACTCAGCCATGAACACCAGCCCATCAATACTGGGCCTTCTAACATCAATCACTATTTAAGAGAATGCACCTATAGGGCACTCTTTTTGAGGCGTTGCCTTAACTAGAGAGGCCCTCTTCCCACATGACTCTAGCCAGGACAGGCAGCCTTCCTCTTGAGTTCATATTTTGTATTCTTTGCTCAGTGATGGTTAGATGCAGGAGGTCAGAAGCAGTTACTTTAGATGAATTGCAGCACATAGCTACAGAGGACTTCTGATGTTATTATCAAGGATCACTTGACGCTTAATTTCTGACTGTCAAATAATGCCTTTAATCCAAAGTATGTCCTGAATTATAACTGTCAGTGTCTATAAGATCTCAGGCCCACACTACAAGGAATTAGTTGTGTGAGTCTGAAACAGTGTGTCTTTTTGCATAGCTCCATACATGAAATAGCTTCTGCATAACAATTTTGCTTCCTTTAAAGAGAACTTCCTGGCAGTTTGCTTGCTTTTATTAAGGATATTCTCTGTTGGAACCATTTGACTATCAGTTGAAACTATGCATCAAATCAGATTATAAATTGTAGGTGAAAAACCATTCTGAAAGGTTTTTGAAAAAAATCTTTGTTCTGTTGAAGATGCTTTCCTTTTGAACTGGGGCATCCATATTTACCAGCTTCATGTCTGAATGATTTTATGAAAAAACTTTTAGCCTGATGAAAGAGAAGCATTACTTTTTTGTGAATGATTCTTGCCAGTGATGTGTACATGTTCTACCTCGCGTAAGACTATTTAGCCATGTTACTTTGTAATTTAGAGCTAGTAGGCATTTTCATGTTTAGAAACTATTTTTATATATTATTAGTCTGTTGCTTCCTGAGAGCAGGCATTTAATTTTAACCTTGAAGTATCATGTGAGTGACCGGTAATTGCTAATAGGAACTATATGTCATATGGCATATCCACATGCCCTGCCATAGTTGCTCACTAATGATCTAGAAACAGGACACTTTGATTTAAAGTATTCTACTGTTTAACTTAAGTGGCATACTAAGAAACACTAAGAAGTTATGGCTAAGTTATTTTTTGAGATATTAAAGAAAAGTTGGATTTTGAGGGAGATACAGAAAAGGCATAGATCCTGAGCCCTGTCTTCTAGGAAGAGAAGAGCTATTTTAAAGTAACCCCTTTCAGAAAATACTGATTATGTAATATAAATATGTCCAGTTTTACTTCTGAACCCAAGTCAGCATTTAAACTTCATTAAATATATGTAGTTTTGTTTTTTAAACAGAAAAATATACCTTAATCTTTCCCTCATGCTATGATTTCCATTAGGTATATTTTCTAAATATATGTAATGGTAGCGTTATAACCTTCCCTCCTCAATGGGGGTTCTCATTGTCTTGAATCTAGTCTCTTATATCTTATCTGTTTTACATGTATATGATGTCCATACATACACTACTACAGCTTGCTTACAAATAGATAAAGTGTAGGACCTGGGCAGTATAGCTCAGTTGATAGAGTGCTTGCCTCACATGAACAGTCTTGGGTATGATTCTAAGACTTGCATAAATCAGACATTGTGGTTTATGTCAGTAATCCCAGCACTCAGGAAATGGAGACAGGAGGATGCAGGTAACTTTCAGCTACATAATGAGTCTGAGGATAGTCTAAGCAAGATGAGATACTCAAAGTGAGATATATATGCACATATATGAAGCACTTTTATTGGTAAGTTTGGCCTATGAGTGAAAGGCTCACTGATGGCTAACTTCTTTTCAACAGGATAACCTTGGCTCTCAGTTCAGCCACATGAGTCTTGCCCGCCAGCCATCAGCTGATGGTTCGGACCCTCACGCCACCATGTTCCAGTCCACTGTTGTTCTACAGTCTCCGCAACAGTCTGGTTACATCATGACGACAGCACCCCCACATCCTCCACCGCCACCTCCACCACCTCCACCTCCTCCTTCCCTACCACCTGGGCAGTCGGTCCCCACTGCCAGTTTTTCTGCCTCTGGGCATCCTGTCAGCCAGCCTGTGCTTCAGCAGCAAGGGTTTCTTCCTCAGCCCTCACCACAGGTATGTTGCTTTTTCATGTTCTCTTTCTCACAGGAGCCTCTGACCTGGGAACAATTTGTGAGATGACATAAGCAAAGTTCCTAGTTACCTCTGGAGACTTGTCTGCTGCCTGGAGAGCAGCTACATGATAGGCAGCTGCAGTTCAGATACATGGCTTAACCTATATGTCCTTAGACTTTCACTCTGGCTCTGAGAAAAATGTTCCGTTTTTGCTTAATTATCTTACAAACACATAATAAATGTATGTGTTAGTTAGAGTTAATATTGCTGTGATGAAACAAAAGCAAGTTGGGAAGGAAAGGGTTTATTTGGTTACACTTCAGTTCGTAATCTGTCATTGAAGGAAGTCAGGTAAGGAATTCAAAACAGGACAAGAACCCGGAGGCAGAAGCTCATGCAGAGGTCATGAAGGGATGCTGTTAACTGGCTTGTTCATCACTTCCTGCTCAGCTTGAGTTCTTATAGAACCCAGGACTCCTTGCCCAGAAATGGCACCACCCACAATGAGCTGGTCCTTCCCCATCAGTCACTCTAAGAAAATGCCCTAAGGTTGGATGTTATACAGGCATTTTCTCAATTGACTTTTCAGATGACTCCAGCCTGTGTCAAGTTGATATAAAACCAGCCAGCACAATGTAAAAGAACTGGAAAATATATATGACAGCATTTCAAGAAGAATAAGCCAGAAGTAACATCAGAGTATCAACTTTCCAGTTCAGAAACAAATCTCTCTGCTCCCTTACTTTAATCTTAATTGTTCTCAATATGTTTTGCATGTGCAGGGTTTTGGGAGATAGGGGTTGTATTCAAGACAGGGTTTTTCTGTATAGCGCTAGCTGTTCTAGAACTCAGAGATCTGCCTGTCTCTGCCTCCCTAGTGCTGGGATTAAAAGTGTACACCACTGGGCCCAGCTGTTTTGCCATTTTCACTAGCTAGATACTTTATTAAATAAACTTAACATTTAATGTTTTTAGTTGCTTCAATAAAAGGAGTTGCTTTTATGTTTCATGTTTTTATGTGTTTACAATAAAGGGAATTTGAGCATACTGATCTTAAATTCTGTGGATTCTCTGCCTCCCCTGTTGTTTAACTAATCCCTCTGAATTGGGAAATCCACTCCCACCCCATCAGAGGAAGGAAGTTTGAATACTCTGGAAATAAGTAAGCCTTACTAGGCTCAGGAAATTAGGGAAACAAAATTAGCAAGAAGCATCTAAAAATGAGAAGATTCAGAAGGGCCTTCCTAATGTTAGAGTAACACATACTGAGAGAGGAGCCTCTCCAACTGGACGTCAACTGCCTGTAGTTGTTCAGGGAGCACCAATGCCATGGTTTTCATGAGTTGTCACTGGTGCTGCAGTGGGATTTTCAGTGGTGCCGATACTTGCCTTTTAGTCAGCCAGTAAACGCATTAGATTCACTAAGCTAGATGTGAGTAGACTCATTTCCTTGGTCTGTTGTTGGTGCCTTCTAGGGTGTCTGTCTGCGGTGAATAGACATTTGCTCATGTCTCCTCCGAGACACAAAAAAAATCACATAACACCTTTTCATGAATACTCATTTTTGTAGTATAATAAGTTTTTTGTGGGGTTTTGTGGTTGTTTTGCTGGGTTAGTATTTTATTTGTTTGTGTTGTTTTAAATGTTTGTTTTGGTTTTACCTTTCCTTTAACAACCATTATTTATCTAGCCAATGATTTTATACATAGTAGGGACATACTCTACTATATTAAACTATATCATCTTTCCTATAGGCTTTTAATGGCATTTTTGTAAGTGAGGTTTTGGTTTTACAGACTGCTTAGAATTATGTATATAACAGATCATTTCTCCAAACAAGATTTTTTTCTGATGTCTTTTATTTATTTATTTATTTATTTATTTATTTATTTATTTATTTATTTATTTATTTATTTATTTATTTATTTTACCTCACTGCAACTAAACTAGGTCAGGATAATTTAAAAGAAATTTATGGCACTCAGGAGGCAGAGGCATATGGATCTCTGTGAGTTTGTAGCCAGCCTGATCTGTGTACAGAATTCCAGAACAACTGTGGCTACATTGTGACACCCTGCCTCAAAAAAAGAAAAGAAACAAGTAATATCTAAAAATACTATCTAGGAAGTGTCCTGGTTCTTTGGTTCTTAAAGTCTTTCCACTCACCCCCTCTTCAATGATTGTCTTTAAATCTAAGGTGTAGAGGGTAAAATGTTTCAAGTGGAGATGGGCACCCCATAGACCACACTTTATACATTTTAACCAGTTATGGATTTCTGTAATTGTCTCCATTTGTTGCAAAAAGAAGCTTTTGTGATGAGGACTGCTACACTTCGCTGTGGTATAAGGATGAAGAGAGTATAGTTTAACATTACATTGGTTTGGGAAGATGGTAGTCATGGGTTCTTCTCCTAGGGCCTGTAACCTCCAGCCACAGAATGGATGCCCTCCTGTTGAGTGGGCATTAAATCTAATTAGACAGCTGTTGGTGCCCCCACCATAAAAGTGCTCATATTGCACTTTGGGGCTATCTTTTGAAGCTGTCATTGTGTGATTTGTAGGTTTATAGGTGGGTGTAGCTAGGTAGCTTTTCTTCATTGGCAGCTTGCATAGCACTTTTTGATAGTGTTAGAGCTAGTCTTCAGGGAATAGGCTTTTCCAGGTCAGCTGCAACTCAGTTCCTCAAAGTTCTGTGTCTAAAGTATAAGTATAAGGTGTCCTCAGCAGCAGTTGGCTCTCTTCTTAAAAATCTGGTAGACAGCCAAGGACAGTGGCAGTGTTCAGTAGTATTTGAGCAAAGCAAACTTTGTTTATTAAAAAGAGAACTATGAAACCAATATACCAGTAAAATTAACACCTAAATTTGATTGTGGTGCACAGTGTGAACGTGTTTTGTTTGTTTGGTTTGGTTTGGAGCACTCTTTTGTTGTTGGTGGGTCCCCCACACACACACAGGGTCTTTCCTTGTAGCCCTGGCTGGCTGGGAGTCACTATGCAGACCAGGCTGGCCTCAAATTCAGAGATCCCCACTGCCTCTGTCTCCCAAGTGTTATAATTAAAGGTATGTGCCACCATGCCCAGAGGAGGATATCTTTTTTAAAAAAAACCTTATATCTGGATTTTATAATTTTCCTATTTAAATTGAAAAATTCAATTGGTTTGAAAGGGGTTGGTATATAATTATTGCTTATTGAATTCTTATATGCCTTATGGAAAAATTACTTTTCTAAATAAAACTAACTTTTGTCATCAATGGTTATGATTGTAGATGCCAGCCTGTTACTGTGCTCCAGGCCACTATCACTCCAGCCAACCTCAGTACCGCCCTGTCCCTTCTGTCCATTACAGTTCACATCTAACCCAACCACTGCCACAGCCTGCACAGCAGACAGGTGAGTCCAGTTCTGGTGCCGAGATTTTTAGCTATGGGCATTACCTTGTTTTCAAATTTACTTCAGTCTTTACCTTAAGAGTCTATCATATTCATGCTCAGTCTTTGGAGGATCTCGGAAATATGTGTGTCAGAGTGTAAGCCAGTCCCACTTAAATTAAGAGTAGAAAATCTTACATTTCTCCAGAAAACTCACAGAATTGTATGTTAAAGGGATGAGAGCATAATAGAAAGTCTTGGCAAGGCCAGGAATTGTTGGGTCCTCACTGCCATGGGAGTAGAAGCCTTTTACAGGACAAGGTAGAGCAAAATGGCTTCCATACTAGAAGCAAGGAACAAAGCCTGCTAAATTGGATTCATTTGAACTTTAGCTACAGGATGACCCTTTAAATATCAAAGATGTCTGTTTGAGGAACTGTTGTTTGGGGGGGGTTGTTTTATTTTGTTTTGTTTTGTTTTGGGGGGTTGAGACAGGGTTTCCCTTTGTAGCTCTGGAACTCGCCCTGTAGATCATCCTGTCTCTCAGAGATCTGCCTGACTTTCTCCCAAGTCCTGGGATTAAAGGTGTGCTCTATTACCACCCAGCTTGAAGAACTGTATTCTTTTCTTATGTATAGTTCTGTCTCATTTTCATTATTCAGTTTGATGATTATTTGGTGCAAAAGAAACAAATAGAATCTAATACTAGACATAGAAAAATTCCTAAAACTCAATCTTGTTTCCTTTTTGCCATTTTCATCAAGAATGTATTGAGTTGAACCCCATTGTTAGATGCTGTCTTAGGGTTGTGTAATAACTTAGCAAATAGATTACTTTGCAAGCGTGAGGACCTGAGTTTGGTCCCCAACACCCACATAACAGCAGGCAGAGTGTAATACTTGTAATCACTGCACTGGCAAGGTAGAGACAGGTGGATCCCTGGGAGTTTATTCCCAGCCAGCCTGGGCTGTTGTATTAGAGCTAGTGAGAGACCTATTTCAGGAAAACAGGGTAGACAGCTTTTGAGGAATGACATCCAGAGATGATCTCTGGATGTGTACGCACATTTGTACCCGCATGTACACTCACACTCACACTTGCAGTCCCACAGGCACACAGAAAGCTCTCTTACTGATTCAAATGAGCTCATTTCTGTTTCCATCCTGGTTGTGTTTGTTTCAAATGTTTAATAAGGTTTTTATCTAAAACCTTCTATGCATAAATTGAAGAATTTAAGTTAGATTTTATTATTAGTTTTTAATAGAGCCTTTTGAACTGTCGGTCATTGTTGATACAGATTCTGTGCAAAGGCATCTCACATCTGCTTGCATAGAGGAATCTGCTGCTTCAGTCCTGTCTACTAGCTCTTGAGCACTACTTATGGGCTGGCCCTTCTTGCTGCTTTTGCTGGCGCACTCACCAGCTTCCCCATTGCAGATAAGAGTTACAATTAGTGCACCAAAACTTCTCTGTCCTTAACCTGTTACACCGGGAAGTTTTCTTGTTCTTAGTATGCAGGCTCATTTTTGTGGGCACCAGCCCTACATTATATGTGTGATGAGTGTTTTTCTAAAGGATTTTGGGCATCATCTGATTTAGCTATAGTTTGTTCTGTCTCAAATATGACTCCTTTTAATGTCAGATTTGCCTGAAGCTTAGTAATACAGCCCATGTCAAACGATACAAACTGTATATTTTAAGCTCAAAGGACATCAAAAGTTGTTCCTGGCTGGTGAGGTGGCTCAGCAGGTGAAGGTGCTCACTACGGCAAGCCTGACAGCCTATAACCTATGTAAAGGTAGGGAGGGAAAGAAGCAACTCTGCAGAGTAGTCCTCTGTCTTCCACATACGTGTTGTGCCGTGTCATGTAACCTCTCCCCCTCTTTACGTGCACACATCTTACGATATTAAATGTTAACTTTTTAATTAATTTATTAAATGACAACTTGAAACATTTTTAAAGTTGTTTATCCTTAAGAACACTGATTATAATATTACTCATTTAATGTCACATTCACAGTTACTTTATTCTAATTAAAATGATATTTTAGCTGGGACCAGTGATATATACCTATAATGTCAGTACACTATAGGCTAAGCTTAGGGCTATATAGCAGCACCCCATGTCAAAATTAAAGAATAGTAGTAAAGAAATCACTCTTTTGTGTTTTCTTGGGCCTGAAAATAATTGACTTCTTGTATTGTTTATATCTGTTGTTTTTTTTTTTTTTTTTCTTTTACCTTCCAAAATTAAATAAAAACAAACCACATCAGGTCTTATGTTTTCCCCCTGTGGCTCTGGACATGGAATTCAGGGCTTTGTCTGTGCTAGGCAGGCCTTTTCTGCCCAGCGACAGCCCTACCTGATGGCTTCCTAATTTCATAAAATGTAAATTAAGTGCTGGAGAGAGAGTTTACAAGTTAGGAGCACTTGCTGCTCTTACAGAAAACCCAGGTTCAATTCGCAGCACCCCCTGGTGGCTCTCAACCCTCTGCAGCTGCAGCTCCAAGGGGTACAGCTCTCATCTGACCTCAGGCACCAGGCACATGAAGACTCTGAAAACACTCATACACATAAAACAATCTAAAAAAAAAATTAATAGAAAAAAGTAAATTGATCCTCATGCCATTCATTTAAATACCTTTTATGTGACTTTCTGTGTTAGCAAACTCTGTTAATAAGGCAGCAAAGGTCCTTTGCTGTGTATTTATGAAAGCTTTTAGTTTTGTCTTTCTGTGGTAAAATTTATTTCCTTACCATAATCAATTTATAAAATAAAAACTTAATCACAGGTTGGGACTGAAGTACTAGTTCATTTGCATTTCTACACATAAATTTGCAGTAAATAAAAAATTAAAATGCCGAATAGGCATCATTTGTATGTGGTAGAAAGGTGTTTATCACTTCTGATAGTTTAATTGTGGGTTTTGTGCTGTTAGTTAATATGAAAGAGAACAGTAAACTGCATCTAGACTGCACCATGCAGAAAAGGGCAGCCTGTCCTTCATTGAAAGTTTCTGACATTGTCTGACTCCTAGGTGTCAGTCATAATAAATCACTGTGCTGAGAGCTTATTCTTTCATTTATTTCTGTATCATCCTAGTAATATATAGTCTAAGTTAGTTACACCTCATTCTGTTTGAATCATAAATAATAATCAAATAATAATACCAGAAATGACAGGTACTTTTGTTATACCTGTAAGTGTAATAGAAACATTACCTTTAAGGAACTCTTCAGCAGCCAGAAGCAGCAATATGTTGCTAATTGTATTAGCCTTCTCATAGAGCTGGTGTGAATTTGAATTCTTCTTAACAAAGTTATGATCTTAAATCTCTATTTGCTTATTTTTTTATAGGTAGGCTTTATATCTGATTCCTAATATAAGAACAATGAACCAGAAGATTAGGCAATTTCTATTTCTGTTTTTGTTGTTGTTGTTGTTCAGTTTACTGATTTTTGCCCCAATATTCATATATAAACATAGTTTACATCTTTTCTCTTAATATATTTCTTATTTCCTTATATTTCATCATAACAGCTGATTTAAATGTAAGTTTTACCTATCATTTATTTTTTGGTTCTTGTCAACCGCACTTATGTACCCTAAAAGAGCTCACAAAGATTGTTACATTCTTTGATTTCATGAAAGAATGAAACTAATCATTCAGCCAAATAATGAAAAATTGCAGCAAATTTTCTTTAGCATGGCACCACTAATGCTTAAATGCTTATATACAAATTTAAAGAACATTTCCCCTAAATTACCAAACTCAACTGGGTCAAGATCTATGAGATCACATAGAGTGTGCACAAAAAAAATAAAGGATTTTCTGTTATTTTCCTCTTTGTGGAAAAAAATAATTGGAAAACTTTTTTCAGACAAACTTTAGTGTTCTGACCATATCTATGCCAATGTATCGCTCTCTTTGTCAGTTAAACTCCAAATACTGTGGGAGCCCAAATGGAGCATTACTAGCATGGGGAAGTGAAAGCCCTTCTCTTCTGTTGTGACTGTGAAATTACTGTGGGCATTCAAAATAAGATTAAGTCAGCACATGTCAAAAGACACTGACGGACACCCTGACTACAGTACATACTGTGAAAGGACAGCTGACTGTAAATCAACGTCCTGAAGGCCCACGGCCTTCTGTTCTTCTGTTTATAAACTTCATTTATTTATTCTTTTTTTTTTTTTATTTTTACATGTGTGGGTGTTTTGCCTTCATGTCTGTCTGTTATATCCGTGCAGTGCCTAAGGAGGCCAGGAAAGGGTATTCACCCTGAGATAGAAATGCAGACAGTGAGTGCTGGGAATTGAAGCCAGCAGGAACAGCCAGTGCTCTTAACTGAGCCATCGCTCCAGCCCCCGCGATCATTTTTAACTAGTGCTAGTTATGTTAAAGCCTGGGGCTTTCAGTTTGCTCACTTACAAAATTGGGATGCATTATTGTATTGTCTAGCCTCTGTGGACTCAAAAATTGTAAGATTCTGTGTCTCATTTGAGTCATTTCTGGTTTAGAAAGGTGAACATCAGAATTAACTTAAAATAGCTTAGTGTCTTAAAAACCGCAGTCATTCAGGCAGCTATTTAAAAAAAATCTATTGCTTGCCAATTGCAATACTAGAAATTTATTGTTTTAACCCTTAGGATAAAAAGTACATGTTGGATACTATTCAGCATAATGCACACACTCTAAGGAGTTTAAAGAAATGGACCCACAGGTAGTAACTATAGCAAAGACTTCAGGTTTGTAGGCCCTGGCTCTTTGATACATGGCTGCTTTCGTTCTTAGACTCTTGAAAAGTTTGCAGCTTCACCATATGTGGTTATATTTCACAATAATTGGCCTTGTTCCTGAGCTGTTGGATTCGGGGCCGTAGCACTGTCTGAGAGGTTTACATTTCTCACAGTGAACCGGTCTCTTTTTCAGCTGCTTCCTGGCTTCTTTTTACTCAGGTTTTTTACTGCTTTTTGCCTTTTTTTCCTTTTTTTGCTTATTAAGGTACTAATATTTGTT